TCCAAGGGGCCCGTGTGGAGGTCGACCTTATAGAATATATTGCTGGCAATAGGGCCATGAATCCCTGTTATAAACAAATCCCCCTCCCTATAAATGTAAGTTAGAGAGTCAAGTTTGAATACACTAATTTATAGCTATAAATGGTATTTCTAAGTAGTTTAGTGAAATTGCACCGAATAGTTATTTGAGCTCGAAAATTTAATTCGACTTAGTTGGCAACTCTAGTCGAATTCTAACAAATTGATAAATCATCTAATCGACTGAAACTAACAAAATTTAATCGTGTCGCATCACTTTGGGACAGTTTCGTTCCATTATATTTGTTTGTACTTGTTATCTACTTATTACTTACTACCTAAGAAGTGCTCATTGTATTCTTGTAATTTCTCTTAAGGAAATTTTAATTAATTCTTCGTAACTGAGAAACAGTGTTTATTTCCCAATACGAAGGCATCAGACGCGAGAGTATTACTTTTAAATTTTAATTTATTCTTTATAAAATACCTTTTCATTGTTCACTTTAATATGATATAAAAATATCTTAGCTAATTTTGGATTATTAACAAATCAATATATTATATGTGTATGATGTATTTGTTATAGTAAGTACCAACTTAGATGTCAAAATTATATCAACGTCTAACTGCTGAACATAAGCCACCCCCTTAAAGGGGTTTTGCCAGTAGTTGCTACACTTAGCAGACGCATTGGCAACCGCAGTTATACTTCGGAGATGTTTTAAGAGGGATTGCTGCCCATTCCTCGCCCACCCTTAGCCGGCACTCACTACACCCACGGGAAAGAAAGGGGTGACCTATTCTATAACGGGAGCACAGGGCAAAACTCAAATATATAAATACATAATTGACTAATATATTTTTTTATCTATTTAGTGAAATCTGAATATGTAATATCATATTTTTATAATAATCTTAAAGACCAGGGGCCTGCCACAGACACGCTCGTTTCTATTTTTAAATAAAAGATTTAGCCCATGTTACTTGCTTGTAATAAATATCTACAATAAAAATCAAAACTCCACGACACTGTCAAGTAAAGCATCTGCAGTGAACTATAGATATAATAAGGTCACAAGCTCGATTCTCAATAGGAGAAGTTAAAAAAATAATAGGACCATTTGATCCTATTATTTTGAAATTAGCAGAAATTTCATATTTTTGCAATATAATTATAAACTTTATTCAAAAATATCTAAAAATAAATTTTTATTTATTCAATTTGCAATGACAAACAAACTGTTGGTCTACCTTATAGTTAGTCTACATTAAAAATGGTCGTATATTTTTTTATTTAAAAAAAAAATAAAAATCTTCTACTTACCTACCCGTGTGAAGCTAGGGCGTATCACTAGTCCATATTTGGAATTCTTTCGAGAAACTCAAGAAAGTTCCAAATATCATGCAGTGTTAACTGCTGATATTTGCTACTTTATTGAGTTTCTCAGTGAAATAAACGGGTTGTTATACCCGTCGGCTGACAAACTTCCAATCCCTGCAGCCACCCTTTTGTCATTCCGAATTCTGCCACGGTTGTTTCCACATTCAAGTTTCAGTAAAACGTCAGCTCTATTCCATTCATCTTTAAACAAGTAACTGCAACGGACAACGAATTGAGACGAAGTTTCCGAGTGAGTCCACTTTGAAATTCGGAAGTTTCTACTTCAAAGGAGCTCTCCATTACTATTTAAACATACTATCTACCTACGAATCCTATCGAATTCCACAGCAGCTTGCAGGATTAGTAATTGACAATTTTGATATGTGAGTAAAGTTACACCTTCAAGAAAAGAATATATTCCTTTTTAAAAGGCCGGCAGCACACCCTTCTTATTAACCAACTTCAAAGCAGACGTTCTCTATTCAACTGTATTATGATTTATGATTATAATTTTTATTTTGAAATTCATAAAAAAATTACAATTCAGAAAAGTATATAATTGAGTTAATTAAAAAATAGAAAAACCTAAATAATTTGCTGCAAAGATTTTAAAAAAATGTCAATTAAATGATAAAAGACAGATAATGTTGAAATATTAATAGTATTTCAATAAATCAGACGAACTCTTTAATTAATCCAGTTTGGGGTGTATTTAATAAAGACTCTGATAGTCACAACATATCCTGTGTATTAATTAGAATACTAAAATAAGTATAATATTAACACGGGAGTAAACCCAATCGATTGCAAACAAAGTCATCAATATTAATGCAAATTTGGCGAAAATATCTCATAACATTATTAGTTCGTCGTTCTTAGGAATGGCAAGGTATCATGGCCGAAACAGTATACTCTGTTATGTCCGTGATACTGTCTATGGGCGACGATTTCCACTTACCATCAAGTGGGCCGTCAGCTTGTTTGCCAGTTTTAAGTTGAATAAAAATAGTATCACGTTACAAAATATGATATTAATGCGTGAATTTTGCATAAAAAATACTCCAGTTGGAAATATTCCTTCGATTAAAGTCGGAAAATGCCTAAAAAGATAAATTACAGAACTTTAAATATTAACCTTTACACCTAAATTTACTCCTTTAAAGCAATTATTTTCAAAGACAAGGCATAGCCATAGTCAACGTGGATTATCGTGTAATCCGTTTATAAATTACCGGACCACCGATTTTCCGGATTAAGTAGGTATCTGCAGTCACCTAGAAAAGGTATATTGGTTTAAGGTACCTACTGTGTGTTTCACTGTAACTCTGCGTGACCACTGTAAATAATTAATCGTAATAACAACCTCTTCTTTAACTTCCCACTACTGGGCATAATTCTATCACGCTGGCCTTTGAACAGAAATTTTATTCGAATTTTCGTCTTAGACTGATAGGTATTTATACTGTTGCATTAGTCGCTACCTATAACATCGTGGGGACAAAAATGGGAGGAAAAGGGACCGGGACCTATTGTATTACTTTTATAAGAACGCATCTAATACTTCTTATAAATTATGATAGATATTATTCATCCAACCAGCAGTGTCATCAGACCACGTTCCTTATGAGGTAAACAAAGATAATTCAGTGTTAACAACTTCTATATTTCACATCTATCACTTGAATACCTATACATTTCTCGTTTTATCCACTTTTATATTGTACAACAATTCCTCTTCGTAGTGATGGAGTTTAAATAATAGGCAATGAAAATAAACTTTAATAGATCAACCTATGTCTCGCCTAGTTATATATAATAAAGATTATACTTGTCTTTCTATGACAAAACGATGTCTGTACACAGAAATTGTTTCAGAGAAATTGATATAAGAAAACTTAATAAGATCAATAAAAGCCTAAATAATATTTAATATACTTTTTTAAATCTTTCGTTGTCCATCCGTATAGTTGTTGCGGCATTACGCAATAAGTACTGCATAAAATTTCATTATTTTTTTCTATGTCTCTAATGTAACTTAAAATCTGGTGTACGTTTTATCTTTATAGAATATCTAAAAATATCTAAACTCTGCTTCTAAATATTTGTACATGTAGATTCTTTCTTTGCTTGCTTGCGACTACAAAGTCGTAGACTAGTACAAAACAATACCATATTGAACCGAATGCGGCCGATACAAATAGTTCTCGTTGAATCGCAATCCAATAGCTGGTTAATGAGGTAGTGCCATCTACAGGACCGTCGACATCTGTAATTGCGTCGTAGCCACTGAGCTCTTTGCATTGTTCACTAGCAATGGCGGCCCTCTTTATTATTATTTCCGTCGAAAACATTCCAACATCAGCCTCGATCTCTACGCTCTTAGCAACACAATAGATACACATTTTCGGAGTCCACCCATTTATATTTCAATATTCGCCGGATATTGTTTTGTAATTCTTTGTTTATTATAGACTTGCTTTTACCAGCGACTCCGTACACGTGGATTTTGAAAGTAGTTAAACCAATTAAATATTATAGATTAATTCTAGATGGCGGATCTAGATTTGCTATTAAGAGTCTTCATATATTTTTTTTCTAGTTATCTCCTATGTAAATAGTCAAATTAAAATTTTACTGTATGTTAGTTGACCTAAAATTGTCGTATCTCTCAACTAACAATACCTCTACACACATTTACAAAATTTCATTAAATCGGTAGTGATATTGGAAATCAAGCTGAACGAACATCGTGACACAATATTTTTATATATTATGATATACCTAAACAGCTAAATACTTGTTTATATGTATAACGGGAATTTTATGAAGTTACTGTTTGTCGTTTCCGACAATAAGTACTTACTAAGAATTTATCTACATATTTATATAGTATATTAATAACATCTAATATAATACATGATTTGAATGAAACATATGTCTACATCTCAGAAATATGTGAATAGAAACAATAAATTACGAAATAACATAAATAGCTGCTTATTATGAATAATATTATACAAATAGGTAGATAAATATTTACCTATCCTAATATAATATAAAGACAAGTAAATATATGAAATCAACAATTTAGTCCACCTAATCTCATCATAATTTTACAGTAATATGTATTCCAAACAATAATTAAATTTTCACAATTGCATCTGAACTGAATCTCTTATTCCATCTATTCTTTGAATTATTACAATTTATTCTTGTCTTCACTGGTAGATTTTTTTTTTCTATTCTGTATTGTCTTCCCGGATATATCACACAAAACAACAATCATACAGTGACAAATTGTTGGTTTTTCATTGACTTGGACTATATATATGACTGTCTTTGTATTTATTTATTGATAAAAAATAGTTCAGTTTCACAATTGTTATTGCTGGATTTTAGCTGATTATATAGAAAAACATTAGTGAGAAGCATTGAATAATTCAAAGTACTTTAGTTCTATCATAAATCTAGTTCATGAAATCCTGCAGAATTATTATTTTTTGTTTACCTCTATAGAAAATTCACAATTAATAGGATTAAAGTATTTAAGAAATAATAATAATAAATATTAACTATGACTAAAGGAAATCAAACAATGTAAAGCTTTGGAAACATAATTTTATTATTTATAAATCTACATAATTAATTAAATTAAAATGCTACTTATTTTTTGCTTGAACATTTGATAACTTAGTAGGATCATATTTATATGTTTTCTGCAGTGGTCCTTTACCTGCTTTTGTAAAAATTAACTCGTCTACTCTTTGTCGGTCAGCTAAATCTCGTGAAATCTTTATATTTGTCCAAGATTCTTTTGCTCCTTCAACAAAACCCTTCTTTTTAATAGGAAGATTATCTGCTGAGTGGTGTATTAACTTTGGTATTTTAAAATAATCTCTGACTTTTGGCACTTTGAGCAGACCCACTTGTAATAGAGAAATGAAATTACTTGAACACCAATATACCAAAATAGCACCAGGAAAGTTTACAGTAAAGGGTATCATCACAATTGGGACTGCACGAAGGAAATATCTCATTAAATGCATATTTGAAGCATTGAGTTTACCACCATCCACTCCAAGTTCAATTGTGGCATACAATGTGGCACTTGTTATAATAGGTAGTAAAAAGAACTGATCAGGAACTGTTAAATCTGTAAACCACCACAAACCTCCATGTGACATGCTGTCAACTGGGCAATTCGCCATTCCTCTTAGACCCATAAAGAAGGAAATAAACAATGGCGCTTGGGCTAATGGTACAATCATATTTTTCAAAGGGTTCAAACCTTTTTCTTTCATAAACATCATCATCTCTTGAGCATAACGTGCAGTCTCCAACTGATTTCCAGATTGCCGTGCCTGTGTCATCTTAAGTTGTAATAATTGTATTTCAGGCAAATTATTATTCATAGCTGCTGTGTTTCTTTGTGATAAAATGACAAGTGGAAACATGGCCACTCTTACAACTATTGTACCAATTAGAATAGCTCCCCACCAAGGTATATCCAAGGATACGTGGAGATATTCTAACGCATTTTGTACTAATCCAACGGGACTCCATCCTCCAAGACCCAAACTAGCAAAAGTTGGCTCACCATTAGCGCTTAAAGATTGCACCGCCTCCGTAATCTCGCCAGCAGTCGGTATATCAGGCACTGGAGGCGGTTCTGGTATATTCTCCGATAAAGTAGTTACTTTTTTTGGATCTACATTGTTAGTAGAAGCGAATCTATAAGAACCAGCTGAGGAATAAACGTAATAAACCTTTACCGGCCTAACCTCAACTTTTTCACCGAACAAATTAACGAGGGCACTGCGACGTCCATGGCGACTGAGTAGTTTAAACATTTTTCTAAATTTATAGATTGCTTTGTCGAATTATGTTATTAAAAAAAAAATCTCTTTAAACAAATATTTCGTAATAACTTTGACGCATTTCTGACAATTATAATACTACAAGTATAGATATTAATGTAACTAGTTGAATGACTTGACTACAACACAGGGGGCAAACTCGGCTCACTTGATCACCCACAACACCAGCGGCATTGCAGGTGTGGCGGCTTTAAAAAGGACTCTTTTCAGGTTAAGGCTGAGCCGGTTCTGAGCACAGATTAGGGAGACTATATTCTAAGATGCCATTTCTCTAAAATTATGTCTTAATCTAACATTTTCATTTGATAATTCTGCGATATTACTACTTTATATATCATCTATTAGAAAATTAGACCATATTGGTTGTTACAGTGAAAATTTAGTAGTGCTATCAAATTAAAATTTTTAGATATAGGTTAAGAGAAATGGCTCCTCAAAATTGACTCTACTCACTGAATTAACAATGCGATTATTAATATATTATTTTTATCTAAATTCGTGAATTGTGACTGAATTACTTAAAATAAAATTATTAAGGTTAAATCAAAGATTTGTGTAATTCCTTGATCTTAATCTTTATTTTATAGCCCAATATCATTCTATCAGTCACTTCCATTTCGTATCAGATCAATCAGTCAGTCATTAATGTCATTTTTGTTTCGTTTTATATACACGTGTTTTTAAATTGATGTAGACTTAAATTTATTTAATTAAATTATTACTGTGTTGATGTATCATAAAAGACGAAAGTACTTAAGTACCTAACTAATGATTTAATTGGCAATGAAATTATAAAATAGAAATAAAATGGCTCATGTATCATATCCTTTCAAGAAAACAAACAAAGCTGTATTTCAAAAACCGACTTCTGTACTTTCTCAAGATTCGATTTATTGGAAGAAATTAGGAGTAAGTACTACATAATAACCTATATTTCTTAGTACTACTTGTAAAGTTTCCTGTCTTTAGATGTTTTATACAGTCATGTTTAAACTTAATTTGAATTTGGTATAGAGATATGTCAAACCATGACTAAATCATCATATAAACATATAAGTACACCTAGTGTACCTATATACATTAAAAAACTTGAAGTTTAATCATCATTAAGTACAGGTATTTGTATATATTACGAGACATTCCTTGCAGCTACATTTTTAATGTAATATTGATTATTGATAATATTTTTTCAGCAACCTGTTTTAGTCAAAGAATTTGGTGCAATTGATTATTTGGACTTCAGCCCTGTAGAACCACATTATTTTGCAGCAACATGTTCCGTTCGAGTACAGGTATATAATGACTTATTTATCCCTATTATTATTTTATTAGAATCACAAGACTACAACAAAAATGTTTTCTTGTATTTGACAGTATCAATGCAGGTTAAATGTATCAGAACAAGTTGCAAGGCAACAGATAAAAATTATTAAATCTTAAAGTTCTTAAAATTTGTTGACTATCTGTATTATCTTTTGTATAATTTAATTCATATTAATTATTTATAAAAATGTTCTACATATAATATAGAATGAACATATATATATATATATATTCTGCATTTTATTGCAACAATATTTCTGCATGTTACTAAGTACTCCCTTTTCTCTTTGGGCTAGATATAAATATTATAATATTATATTATTCACTTTTTCAGATATATGACCCAATAACAAAAGTGGTTGCAAAAAATATATCAAAATTTGTACAAGCAGCCTATGGTGGATGTTTCAAAAATGATGGTCGTCTACTAGTAGCAGGCAGTGAAGAGTCTGCTGTTAAATTATTTGATGTTCATTCCAAGAATGTTCTTCAGATGTGGACGTCGCAAGATATATCAAGGACCTGACTTTTTATAAGTACTGTGAAAGTAACATACGGCGTCTTTTTTGCTGTAACGTAGACTTGTGTCTTTTTGGGGTTAAATTGGATATATTAGTTTCGATTTAAAATAATATTACATTTAATTTTTTAAATCATAAATTTGTTGGATAATACTATATTGTTTTTATGTTACAGGTTCACAGAACATTCTTTACCAAGGACCAAGTGAAAGTTGTGAGCTTCTCTGATGATAAAACAGTATGTTTATGGGATATAGCTACAGAGGAAAAGCTAACAAGCTTTTCTGAACATACAGATTATATCAGAGCTGGTGCTGTAAGTCCTATATCACCTGACCTGATATTGTCAGGAAGTTATGACAATACAGTCAAGTTATATGATTGTAGATGTAATGAAACAGCCCTCACTGTGAATCATGGCAGCCCTGTGGAATCAACACTATTTTTACCATCTGGTGGCATATTTATAAGTGCAGGTGGTACAGAAACTCCTGTTTAAAGTCTGGGATATATAAATATATATTCTTTTGGTGGTAAATTATTATGCATGTATTTTTCAAGGACCATAAAAGTTGTGAGCTTCTCTGATGATAAAACAGTATGTTTATGGGATATAGCTACAGAGGAAAAGCTAACAAGCTTTTCTGAACATACAGATTATATCAGAGCTGGTGCTGTAAGTCCTATATCACCACCTGATATTGTGATGTACAGTCATGAAACAGCCCTCACTGTGAATCATGGCAGCCCTGTGGAATCAACACTATTTTTACCATCTGGTGGCATATTTATAAGTGCAGGTGGTACAGAAATTAAAGTCTGGGATATATTTAATGGTGGTAAATTATTAGCATGTATTTCTCAACACCATAAAACTGTAACAACACTTAGACTCGCTAGCAATAACAGCAGATTGATGTCAGCATCGTTGGATAGACATGTAAAAATCTATGATATTTCCACATTCAAAGTGGTTCATAATATTAACTACCCAAATGCAATTCTCAGTATGGCTATATCAGAGAAAGATGACACATTAGCTGTTGGTATGATTGATGGTGTAATATCAATTAAAAGGAGAGAACGGCCCACTAAATCAAAAGGAGCAAAAGAAGGATTATATAAATTTGCTCCTGATTATATAGAATCACATAATTCACATTCACATAATAATACTGATAATTCAGTAGAAAAGAAAACAAAACATGAAAATGATTTTGACAAGTATCTAAGAAAAATGGAGTATGCTAAAGCTCTAGGTTCTCTTCTCAATCCCACTGTTATTACAAAATTTCCAGAGAAAACGGCTGCTGGACTACAGCAGTTGCTTAGATGGAAAGTTCTTAATATTGCCATAAGTGGACTAAATAATAAACACATAAGTTTTCTTCTTAAGTTCTTGAGGAGAAATTTAGGAGAAACAAGATTTACTAGAACTATAATTGATACAGCCAATGTGTTTATTGATGTATATGAGAACCAGATGAATTTATTATCTGAGATTAACTTACTGCTATATAAAGGACTACAGCAGGGCATAGAAACTGAGATAGATGTTAGTAAAAAAGTCAGTGAATTAGAAGGTGCTATCTGTATGCTTTTAGCTGCTGGTCAATTTAGTGATAATAGGGATACATTGGATATACCCAATACACTTGCACCTTCATCTAATGCACTGAAAGATATTGTTATAGATGTCTGAAATAAAAATATAAAACAAAATATTTTGTTTTTTTTTTTTTTTTATACCACTGAGGTAGCAAACAGGCATTCAGCCCACCTGAAGGTAAGCGGTTACCGTAACCTTTGATATAGAACAATTCCTTTAATCACAATCCGTTGCACTAGTGGTAGAATATACAGAATTAGGCAAAATCTCTTAAGACCTGAAGGTTTGATACTGCTTGTAATCCTGGAATCATTGAAAATACTCAGCTCCTCATTGCACTGAGTGGAAGGGTTCAACCTGGTATCTAGGTAGTTTACCTTGTGTACTGCTGAACTTACTTCTCATTACAGTAATCTTCTAAGAGTTATAGTCCCATATATACAAAATATCTGCAATGTTTAATAAGTGTTACATATAGGCAATACCAGAATACTTTTTTATTCTTGTGCTTATTATCTGCGTATTGTATGGTGCTGTTGCCATTATAGTAGATTTGCCTAAAAAAATAACTTGAGTGATATTTTCGAATCAAAGTCTAATAATTTTTCCCAATCAAATAAATGTGTAAATTAATTTAATTTTTTTTCTTTTATTTAATGACTTATTATCTGCATCATGTTCTAACCCGACTATAACACTATAAGTATATTACAATATTATTAAACAAATTTTACTAAAATATTTTAATTAATTAGTCAAGCAAACATAATAATTTGCAGGTCAGAAATTGATTTGCTCCAAGAGAAACTGAGTTCTCAGCAAAGACATGTCTAAGAATACTTATACGCGTTCTTTAAGGAATTAAAAGGTCAGCGTAGAGAACAATGCTTTACATTGATCACAATGATTAGATGATTGTGAAAAAAAGAATTGTTTTGTTATTGTGTAAAAGTGAATGAAATTGTACAGTACAGTCGCAAAGATCTTTTTTTAATTATTTTTTTTAAACTGGTACTATTAAAAAAATATTATACTATATGATGTGAAAGAAACTGGTTCCTGGCAATTTACTACATGGTGAGTATCCATGGCCGTAAAATCTATTTAAAAAAAAATGTTTCTATTCCTTTCATTCGTTTCTCTAATCTGTGATTCGTTTGTTGTCGTTGATTCTCTGGACGACTGTGAAATGACATTTTGTAGAATAGAAATTGTAAATCAAACGACTGTGATGTGATTTGTTGTTTAGTTACATAAAAATAAAAAGTGTTAATTTAATAAACGCAATAAATTTGTTACAGTGATGAACTTATACAATGTATAATAACAACACGTTCCTTTCCTTAACCGTAGCAATAACTTGTAAGTTCCCAACAGTAATTTCATCATAGTTTTTAATTTATTTGTGTAATTATATTAAATAAATTTTCTAAAAATATAATTATATTCTCAAATTTGAAAATGTAATGTGTACGTCAGCTTGTCGATTTTATAGTTGTAATCGAATAGAATCAGGTTATATTTTTTAGTGTTATTGACCGTGAATGAATTTGTGTTCTGTTTATTTTGCTATGCAGATACTCGAACCTAAAGTAAGAACCATAATGGACGAAAAGAGGGTCGCGGATTATTTTGTGGTTGCTGGATTACCAGACAACCCAGAATTGCTGGAAGATTCTGATTCTGGACATCTCAAAGGGTACAATACTAAAGCACCCATTACTGACATTGGTAAGTTATTTTTACTTATTGTGGGTAGTATTTACTGTTATTTCTAAAATATATATTATATAATATATTATATGTATGTATATATATTTTTGAAATGCATATATGTAGAGTAGAAGGGATGTATATTATAAGGAAAGTGTATAATTGAGGCTGTAAATGAATAACTGATTATTTTTATCATATGTACATAGTCTACTTGTCCCTAGTATTCATTTATTTATTTATTCATTATTAACCACAATACAAAAAAAATACTACAAAACGTAGATTTAATGCTGGATGTCCTTCCATTCTAGTTAACCTTTGGAAAAACAGAAATGTAATTACGTGATGAAAAATGTTGAAAACTGTTATGGGTAAATAGTTATAGGTGTATCTATACTCACTCAAAAATTAATAATTTTTGAGTCAATATATATAAAAATTATTAATACTAACACTCCCAGCAGGTGTTGTCCAGTCCGAAAAAGCAGTGGGACATTAAATGTGATATTTTAAATTAAACATATACATTTTATTAATTTTGTGATTCTACGATTACTTCTAATAAATCTGGTTGTCATTATTTTTTGATATCTCACTGTTTACTTTAAGTCTAATTTTTTTTTATTTGTCTGAATTATTTTATTCTTTATTATTTTCTAAATCTTTTATAGTACTTCCAGTATTAGCGAGAATTATTCTTAGGTTCATTTGATTTTAAGTTAGCTCTTTCCTTCCTTTTTTTGTGTTCTATGTAATGCGCGTTTTCCAAGCCACAAATTTCCCAATGATTGAAATTGTAGGATATGATAATAACGAAGTTGCATTCAATGCAGTGATTGTTGATGTTCATTGCCAAATTAAATCTAAGCATTATGTTTTTTATTGCAATGCTTACAAAAAAACATTTTTTATTTTGCAAAGCTGGTCATGATGTCCATTGTCTACAATTGTAGCAATATTTTCCTATATATTAATAATAAACCTATGCTTTATCAATTTTATAATACATTTTTTTTAATCATATTGTTTTTATTGTGATTACAGTAAAATTTCATTGATTTTGTGTTTAGTATTTCATTTTATATTTTAGTATTTCAGTTTTCTGTGCTTTGAATGTTTTTATATATATATCATAAAGGTGGTAGACAAGCCTGTCTGATGGTAAATGATCACTGTAACCTATAGACTCCTGCCACACTAGGGGTGTCACGTGCGCATCGCCGACCCTGAAGAAATCTTAATATACCCTTTTTGAAAAAAACCATTGATAAGACATTTTAATATTTATGTACATTCATTTCATTGATTCATGGGTTCTTCAAAAGGGGGGTAAAGAGGTTTCTTAAGGGTCGGCAACACATGTGTAATACCCCTGGTATTGCTAGCGTTCATAGGCTATGGTGACCACTTATCATCAGGTGGGCTGTATGCTTGTTTGCTACCTCAGTGGTATAAAAAAAAATCTACTAAACTTCTCTCTTAAATTAAGTAGACAATTTTGTGAAAGTACTGTAATAAACTTTCATTCTCTTTTTAATATCTTTCTCATACTTCTCACCTTTCTTCATTTTAAGTACCTACTACTTTGTAATACATTACATTTATTAGTAACTAGCTGACCCAGGCAAACTTCCTATCACCTAAAAGTCTGAAATATTTTTTTCTGTATTTTTTACATGAATTTTTCTGATATTTTATATATAAAATCCAACAAATCATAGATTATCAAAATGTGTCCAGCCATTCTGGAGTTATAAATAGTGTAATTAACTGGACTTTGTTTTATTTATATAGATATAACCGTTAGTTGTACAGTTACTATACACAGTGATATAGATTGTGGTTTGGCATCTTGTTGCATTATGTAAACAGATATTTTTCTTCAACATGTTTACAACATATGAACCACCTACTAAATTAACAATGACCATAAAAATATGATATTTCAATTAATTTATTATCATTATCATATCAGCTTTTAACTGTCCAATAGTTGTCACATTTGGTAGGCGAATTGGCAACCGCAGTTAGCCTTTGAAGATGTTTTAATAGAGATGATAGTGCCTATCCCTCACCCTCCCTTAATCGATTCTTACGACACCTACAGGAAAAGAAGGGGTGACCTATTCTATGCTGAGACCACACAGCAATTCAATTAATTATGTTAAGATTATTATTTCTAAAAATTATGTTCTGAAAATTTTATGAACTTATTTGTGTTTATCATTTCTGACAATTGTTTCAACTTTATCCAGAATTCTTCGGGAGGTATACAGCGCTTTGCATATTAGATAGTTTTGTTATATTTTGATAGTTAAATTTTGAAAAAAAAAATTGACCTGATATCTTATGTGTGTGGGTGTGTGTGTAGGTATACATTACGATAATTTTTTAAATTAAGTGATATACGATTTTACGTCTAGTTTCCTTTGGCTTATCTGTCGACCGTTCTTCAATCATCTTCAATAGAGGCGTCTACCTATATCGAATGACGGATTATTGAAATAGCGTTAATATATAAAGTCATATTAAACATTCAAAACACATATGAATGTTTTTTTTTTTTTTTGTGAAAGGCAAGATAATTCTCAAGTAGGGTGCTTATTTGTTGCTATTGGTCGATTAAGAGTAAAACTGGTTTAGTACTTATAAAACCGCAGACAGAACTAGGGCGTCACAACTAAAAGAAACTGGCTATCTCAAATAATATAAATATTCTTTATTAAACTAAAGATGTAAGGTTGTTTTTGCTATATATTAATTTACCTATTAACTAAATACTACTAATACTTAATTTATAACGAAACCTTATTAATAATTTGGAACAGACTTAAAAAAAAATTAGGAAGTTCTCGATTCAATTGTATTTTGTTTGTTATTTCGAATCAATTTGAAAAATTAGAAATATAAAGTTTATAAAAATAAAAACAAAAAACCTTTAGTGACATTCGCCTCTTTCGCTTTAATATAAATTTTGTTTCAACTAATTTCATAATTTATCTCATGCGTATATATCTATGCTGGTTTCAGTCTTCATTTCTCTCTTAAAAAATATACCTACCTCAGGGTATATTTGATTTTCAGTTGTAAACCACAGCTTCAATATGTAAAATATCTTACGTACTAAATTAGGATATAATTAGTAATATTGAGTTAAAATAATCTACCCATGTACCAAATTTCATTCAAAGCCATTCAGTAGTTGTTGTTAAAAAGAAACAACCTTCCATCTATCCATCGTTACAAACTTTCACATTTATTATATTATAGGATTATAACTCAACTTAGGTTTCCCTCAGTAATCCTTTTACTCTAATTTGGTATGTTTATCTGTTTTATGTTCCATTTATACAACATTCAACGTACCTGAATCTCCATCCGTAGCATGCCCTTCGTTTGTACACAGACTCTTTCAAAACTATCTTTCTCTCGCACTACTTATTGTATTGCGAAGTAGTTTGTTGGCCTTGATTCTTATATAATTACATAATTGAAATAATAAGTGTTATTATATTATACTTCATAGGCTATGCGAAAGTGAGTTTGGGTTTTTATTGGCAGATAAGAATTACATGATTTCAACGCTTCATGTTAAAATGTTGCATTCGTATTCTTGAGGAAACTGCGGCTTCATCTACACATCCAGTTGGTTCCTGTGGGAAATATAGCTTCAAAACCACTGCGGTTGCACCCGCATATACTGCGTTCTCATCCAATCCCATAAGAATTTTCATAAATCCTTTTTTATGGTATTGTGTAATTAAAATAAGTTACATAATTTCTTAATTATGGTAGTTATTTGAAAATGTATTGTTATTTTAAATGACGAAGGGGAACATACATTTAGTTGAAAACGTTGTATAGAAGCGATTCCTTACAAAATTTAGTAATCTAAGTTAGTTTTTAATTAAATTCTGTGCGTTGTGCCATGATGCAGGTATTATCTGAAAGTTAGACTATATTTACTGTAAAATGACTGTGTTAAGTAAACTTTTCAAAGTCGAAATCGTTGAATCATAATTGAAACTTTTTCACGCTTGAATGTTTTATTAAATCCGTAAGTTAAACTATGATTTTAATGATCTGTCATCCATATCACACAATAACAATACCGCACAGACTATAAGAATCTAACTCGGATCCCAACCAATGACTTATCAGTACACACAATACAATGGGCCCATATGCTTCAACTAACACATTATCAGATCTATTTGTTATTGACCATTGCTGTGCATTATCGATACAAACGCCGTTAAGAAGAGTTATTACTCCACAAACGGCCTCTTGATTGACCCCGCTGATTTATATTTTATTGGTAGGCACCACTGATGTATCGAGCCACGAATAAGCCACTCAACAATTTCGAAATTCTCAGAGCAATAAAACTCGGTATTGTTGATTCTTTTTTTAATAGATGAATATGGAATGGTAACCCCATTTTTGTTATCGATTTATACTAGCAGAGCTTCAGAGAGAAATGATAGATTCAGATGGAGATCAGACTGCCTATTGTGACCAATTTCTCTGAAATAAACTACGATGTTTTCCAGTGAAAAATCGTGAGGAGGTCGACTTGATAGGATTTTTATAATGAGTGAAAATGAAATAGGACAATAATCTGAGAAGATAGATTGTTAGTAGTGAGAACTTGTACTAAAAGTAGAAGAATTAATAGGTCGCAGGAAAAGAATTATTAGTAATGGAGACTAACCGTCCATTGCTAGCAATATACCCTGTTAGATCGACCTCCATACGATTTCCTCTGAAGATCATTATGGTTAATTCCCAGCGAGTTTATCACGATGGGCTAACCGACCTGACTTCATCTTTACCTATACCATCTCTCACTGATACCCCGCCAGCTTTATTGAGAGCGCAGGCGGGGTTATCATTCCATTTCCACCCTCTAAAAAAATTCATCTCCCCATTGTTGTAAGTAGGTTAAGAATGCGTTCTTTCGTCGATTGCCTATGATGTAATAGTTAAGCTTATTAATTTAGATCGTTGTGTTAAAGGGTACGTACCTATATAGAATTCAGTACATACCCGCATGGTGAATAAACCAGTAGTTTAAATCGATATCTCTACAAAAATACACCTGTGTTATCTATAAAAATTGACGTACGTGTATTCCTGGCTAAAGTTTGTCTACTTCTAATGCATAGTTATATAGATATAACTATGCATTAGAAGTATAACTGTATAACTATTGGCTACCGACTAGTAGTGATAAATAGTAATTGGTAAAGATAGGAAATGTAAATATTATTCATTAAATATTCTAAGTGTTTTTTAAGTCTCGAGCTGTGATAATATAATTATTAAATGAAATTGTCAGATTGAACAAGATAGGACAGGGCCGTAGCTAGACCCAAGATTAAGGTAGGGCAAAATATCTCTTTGCTAGAGCAGAAGCCATAATTAAGTGACTTCGAAAAAGCGAATCTGTCTAATTTTCTTGGAGCCTTTTAAGGTAGGGCATTGCCTCTCAATGTCCCCTCCCTAGCTACGGCCATGAGACAGGTCAATAGGCCAATGTGAAAATAAATACTTGATAGCAAATATCCATCCAAATCGGTTTATAATTCCTAAGATATCTCTTAACAAACAAAAATACTTAATAAGGCCAAACCTGCCACGCGTGGCAAGTACAGGCAAACCCCCCATACGGGGGTTGCTTATGTTACTAATTGTGCTGATATTACTAATGTAATAAAATTATTTCACTAGTCAGATCACTAGTAACATATGAATTAATGTCGGTGGATGAATCCCTTAAATTAAATCCTTTATGTTAATAGTTCTCGTGTTTTAGGGATAATAAAGTCTGAAATCACAAATAAAAGAATGATCAAATTGAATTGCGAGACAGTACTAGTTGCATGTAAAATAAATAAATAAAATTTAGCATCTATTATTATATGAATTAAAGTCTAGACTTGATGATTCCAAGTTTGTATAAAAACACGACTCAAGTACTTGTACAGGATAAGTAGGATCGTAATGATACACCTGCTAGCAGTTGTGTTTGTAATTTATAATTGAGAGTTTATAGTATGATGTAAGTAGTCGATGTTGGATATACGTATATACTTATATTACAAGCATGTAACTGATGCTAATGAAGTCTGCAGCGGCTTGAAGTACTGGTTCCCTTATTTAGTCATAGCAGAGGTTGGATGCGAATCTATAATACAGTTAATTGTAATTAATGCTGTCTGCCTAGTCAGACGGAAGGCCTGTATCAATCTTTAATGTTAAATTCTCTAAGGATATACACGTAACTTTAATTTTAGTATGATAATTAAAGATTGTGCCCACAAAGAAAAACCGATGTCAATTGCAACAAAACCGGTTATTTAGATGTAAAAAGTAAAGTATTGAACCGATTTACTTAAATAAAGTTTCAATGGGACTTATCTGTAAGTATATCCTATATATAAAAACAATTTTTCAAATCGGTTTATAATTGACGGAGTAATGAGGTAACAAACATAAAAAAATACAACCGAATTGAGAAGCTCTTTCTTATTGAAGTTGGTTAAAAAAAACATATGTTTCTCTATTTCATTTGCGTCTTTACAACTGACACGTTTTAAGATGATTTAGCATTTATATATCAACTACGCTAAATCTCCTATATAATAACAATATACCTCTATTTACTAATACCTCTTAGTAATGCATACTATGTGTATAATATTTTTAAATATACATATTACTTACTTAAGCACTGAAATGCTATACCCTTTGACATTAGATCTGACCCAAGCAAATTGGCATTCTAGCATAAATTACGTTCTTTTTATTTAAATTCCCTAGAATCGTATTATGTTTTAGACGATTTGCTTTGTCTAATGCTGTTATTTCTCTTGTATCTGAGTGGTTTTCAATATGATATTATTTATTATTATACAATATATATAAATGTATAGTGTAGATAATATAAGTATTATATGTTTGTTTTTTATATATTAATATTTTTTATTTTTTATTTATTTGCACATCTCGTTAGACCATCAATTAGTTTTTCTGTTATTCCTTTCTACAGTCGACTGGTAGGTAACATCACATGGTGTTAAGTCCGCCAATTACATTATCTAAGTGTATTAAAGGTTAATAAATAAATAAAATATTATTATATTGTTGCAGGTGTGTTGTTTCCGGGTCTCGGCGAGACAGTGCCCAATGGCTATGAATTACTTGAGCTGACACCTTCTGGATTACCGGCGGATTTGAACCATGGATCTATGCGGTCGCCGGAATGCTTTCTTTGTATACGACGGGGGAGGGATCGACCGCCACTCGTCGATATTGGTATGTTAATATACCCATTATAACAATTTAAACTTTAGGCAATTTTATCTCAAAGTATTATAGATCGTATGACGTACACGATAGATTTTGTATTTCTTTGCTATATCTAATTACAGTGTTTGAAATAAAGCTATGTTATTTTACTGCGTGTAATTTATTAGTCTCATATTTCAAGCTACCATTCTACCAATTTACATTCGAATCGCATCTGTAGTGTAGGTGTAAAAACATATCCACTGTGTACGTAATTATTTCCTACATACAATACACTAGTAAAATAAATATGCAATCGTTTGAAAACAAAGCATCAAACAATAAAATGTATTTTTTTTTTTGTATACCGTCATTTCTTTCCTACAATCTATATGAATATTCATAAAAGATTATGTCGCAAACAACAAAATTCAATTTAAAAAGTACGGTTTTGAAGTTTTTTAAATGAACGTACTTGGTCAGAACTTTAAGTAACTAAATTGTCTATTATTACACAAAAAATTAACAGTTCTATTTAAAATATTCTATCTTTGCCTATGACATTTAAGCTATTGTTGCTTTTACATAAATTACTTTATATATATAAATCATCTGGCTTACAATACGTACACTTTGCTAGTTATTTATCTTTTTGTAATTTTATTAGTCGTAGCGTAGGTTCAACGTTGAAAAAGTTAGTTTGACGTCGAATAATAAAAAAAAAATATTTCCTAATATTATTTTAATTATAGCACAACTGAGCTACGAAAGCCCAGTGCTACGTCCTTTGTATGTATAAATACTACGTTCGCAGACATTTCGTGCGTATACGCAATCACTTTGTGGTGTGTTATGTTTACAGTATTGATTCAACTCAAAATTATTTTGCTTTGAGTAGTAGGTCAATAATTTAATCTAATAAATCCACATGAAATATTTATTCTAATACCTAGTAGTTCCAGATAATATTATCTGTAAATTTTCGTAGTACCTATATATAAAATTTTGAACTTTATGCTATTGAATATAAGAGCAAAGGAGTAAGGAGTTATGGCTATGCAGTTTCGTTATCTTTTTTTTTTATCACGATACATTTTACGCACGAACGGGTTTTGCTTACTTCAATAGCTTTTGGCAACTGTGTCAGTAATAGGGCTTTTTATTGATACAAAATGGATTTTGCATTTTCAATCCTTAATTGCAACGGAATAAAGTCTAAATTTGCAAGAAAGATCACAATTTAATTAATTTAGTTGACTATAGAGTGCGTGTTACGTACGGTATTCCAAATTCCAATTATCAGGTGATATCGAGAATGATTTTCGAACTTGAAACGAGTTTGACAGATGTGTTTAATTCCCAGAACATTTTGGCTAAATAGTGCACTGCTCTATAAACATTTCTAAAGTGCCTACTTATAAATTCTCTGAAGGGCATTCGAGAATAAATTGTTATGATTGATTGATTTTTATTATTGTTTTATTGAGATTTATGATTTTAGTAGATCAGGGTCTGAAAAGGATAAACTTGTGATAATAACATCTGTCTATATTTGTATAAGAAAACGTTAGTTTACAGTAGTTATACAGCATGCTACATTAAGTTTGGATAAAATCCTAATGGTCAAAACATTATTTATTAATGAATTAATGAATCAAATTAATCTAAGAAACGACAGTAAGAAATGGCAAATTCAAATGTTTTCCGAAATGTGGGCAAGTCAAGAATGAGCTGTTTTTTTATGGATTATAATGGAATGGTAACCCCGCCTGCGCTATCGGTATACGCTGGCGGAGAACCAGTGAGGGATGATAGGTGAGAATGAAAAGGCAGGTCAGTTAGCTCAACATGATGAATACACCTGGAAGGGGGGAAAGGGATTGTCAGTAATGGAGACTAAAAATCCCATTGCTAGCAATATACTCAATCAGGTCGACCTCCTCGCGGTTCTTCCTGGAAATTATCATGGTTAATTCTTAATGAATTCGTCATGATGGGCTAACTAGCCTGTTTTCATTCTCATCTATCACCCTTGTGCTCCGCCAGCGTATCCCGTTAGCGCAGCGGGTTACCATACCATTTTCACCCATAAAAAAAATACACCTGGAATTCAGCTTGATGGTTTCAAGAGGGGAAATAGAGCTAGACTATTAATATCTTCCAGCTAATTATGTTAGCTTATTATGTTACATATACTTCAAGTAGTCTTAAACTACAGTATGGGATTCTTCAAAAAAGGTATATTGAGGTTTCTTCAGGGTCGGTAACGCGTACGTGACACAGCTAGTGTTGTACGCGTCTATAGGCTACAGTGACCGTTTACCATCAGATTGTATGCTTGATTAAATTAAAAAAGACGTGCTAATTTATGGTAATATATTTTTGATAGGTGTCATGTACGAGGGCAAAGAACGTCTAATGGCCGATGCCGAGATGGTCCTCAAGTCTGTCGGCGGTCGACTGGCCAACGTCAACAACTCGTCAGCGAAGACGTACATAACGTACCGGCGAGCGCATCCCACCGCTCCGTGCAACGCCCTCGTAGTCGTCGACGTGTGTGTTATAGTGGCCAGTAAAGGGGAGTGTCCACCGCACGCTTTCTGTATGATCGCCAAGAATTTGAATAAAGGTATGAGATATACAAATAGATGTATCGTTTCAGTAATAGGGATCCTTTTATTGTGACTGACACATCGATAAACTTTTTGTAAATATTGTACATTGCAATTTTTTTATTAACTGATTGCCCGCTACTCCGTATATGTGGCTTTCAAAAGTAGAGAAATCAATTATGCAGTTCACTTTTAAATGACGTATTAAGATAAAACATACCAGTTTTAAGTTATATCTTCATAAATACAAGTGTGAAAACCGTATCCAATACTGTGCAGTAGTTTTGCCTGATGCTAGACAAACGTACAGATAGACAGAAAGTATTTATAAAAACTTTTTTTTTTACTTCTATTGGTTTTATTAAGACCCCTCATATTATTTTTTTTAAATAACTCCTATGTAAAGACATCGTCCAGTTATAATTTGATTATATTAGTTAGAGATACAATCAATCATTCGAAGCACATAAGACATCATAGCACTGAATTCATAAACTCTTGAACTGCCGAGCTTTTTTTTTTATACAACTTAGAATGGCAAACAAGCTGACGGCCCACCTAATGGAAAGTGGTAACGGTCGCCTATAGACATGAGCAGTACCATGGACATAACAGAGTGTACTGTTTCGCCCATGATACCCCCATGCGTTGTTTCTCTGTACCCTGTAAATTCACGCCATATTCCACCCTTCAAACCGAAACTCAGCCATGCAAACACAACTGCTTCACGGTAGAAACACGAATGCTTTGTAACGCTATTATCAAAAGTTACAATTTTCAATATTTACTTGTAACCGAAACATAGATATCCAAGAAAGTTCATATTTTTACGAAAAATATACTTAAATTTCAAGCTTTGTGTGTCATGCTAGAAGAATTAGAAATATATGGGCAAAATCTTTATTGGTTTAGTTTATCTATTCTATTCCTATCTATTTTGCTTAACTATTGTAACACTTATTGTGAGTTTTCTAAATATTACGATGTTTCTTTAACACAATTATGTTTCTTAGAGATTGATTAATCTATTACATTTTAATGTCGCAACAAGATGTCATAGTTTATTAATAGTAGATGAATTATAATTGATGTCTTTCAATGAAAATGTATATAATTATATTAATGTTATTATTTATTTCTTAATGCAATGTTAATAATTACAACTCTAAGCGATTCTTCTGATTAACTCTTTATGAATGATAGGTTAGGCCAAGAATAAACTTTGCTCTTAATCATACAGAACTCTTAGAATATAAATAAATTTTATTGAAGTAAACTTATATATATATATATTCAGTGAAATAATTAACAGTAAAAATTTCTTATATTTTGATCAACCAGTCCGCAAGTATGGTGCTTGCCATTCAAGAACATGATGGATGTATTAAAAAAAAATATGCGAAGATAAGGCGTGTTGCTAATATTAAAAATCCACAATTTTAAACTGTCTACGAACGACGGCATATATGCTGATCTATCTTGACAGGAATATTGCCCATTGGTCAGGCCAAGCTATCTTAATCACGTACAAGTCGTCTTGTTTCAACACCGCAACGGATCATGTGTCATTTGTAGACAGGTTTAACTGAAAACTTGTTTTTAATGTTGTATACTTTTACCCACTAGTGGGATACTAGTAGGAGTAGTAATTTTACTATAATTATCGTACATGTTTTAAGGGTCCACTTAAATTCAGACTCATTTTTTAATTTCACAAAAACACCAGAGGGAGACTTTGTACAAAAGTCGATTGCTTGGGTACCTCTGTCCCATTCGTGTTTCAACCGTGAAGCAGCTGTGTTTGCATGGCTGTGTTTCGGTTTGAAGGGTGGGATATGGCGTGAATTTACTGAGTACAGAGGAATAACATCTGAGTCCTCAGGAATGGCAACGCATGGGGGGTATCATGGGTGAAACAGTATACTCTGTTATATCCATGGTGCTGCTCATATCTATAGGCGACGGTTATCTTTTTCCATCAGGAGGACCGTTAGCTTGTTTGCCATTCTAAGTGGTATAAAAAAAAAAGATTTTTTTTACTTTGAATACAAAAAGTCGGATGTTTAAAACCATCTCTGTATGCATGTGGTACCGTAACTCTCTAAGAGATTTCTATGCATCTCACGATTTAGAAGAGATGTTTCTTAGCTATGCTGGATGAAAAACTGTTCAAGGTTTCAGGTTTTTTTTTTTCAAGTAGAAAGTAAAAAAATAAATTTCTATTGAAATCTATAATTTTACGTCATGCATTATATTATTTTGTCTAGGATTTCCTTTAGGTGACTAATATAGTATGTATATACTTCCTAAAATCATTTAAAAACAAATAATAGATGATAAAAGGCACACTTTTTGTTAGTGCGTAGATTAGAAATGGAACTCGAAATATTTTATCTATGCAACTAATTGTAACATGTTAATTGTATCACACATTAAATATTACATGTAATTCTTTTTAAATTACAGGTTTAATGGGCAGTGATGTGTACCTCTGTTACAAAAAGTCAATGAACCGTCCACCGCTAATAGCTTACAAACCAGAAGTACTCTTTAGGTTAGTATAACAAAGTTCAGAACATCTTATATTCTAGTGTTGTAAGTATTAGAAAGTGTTTGAAGTTAGAAATGGACGATTGTTCTATAAATAATACAATCGGATTATTCGAATAATTCGTTTAATAGGTTAACAAACATTCACCGTACAGGCTGTAATTTGTTTAAATGCGAGGCATTCTCAACTACACTAACTTAATGAGTTATTATCAATACAAAGAAAAAGTTTGTAGTTTCCCACGTGATAAAATATTCAATTCTTTTTTCTAAGATTTACTCTATTACAGTAGACTTGCAGGTTGACTTTTAACGCAATCGAATTGATATAAAGTCGGACGTCAAATAATATAATCAAATAAATGAAACTATTTATAATTACTCCTCTCCATCCAAAGGTTGCTTGGAAGAGATCGCTTTTAGAGATAAGGTCGCCCATTGTTTTCTCACTGTGATTATTTCTTGTAATTGTTTGTATCTATAATAAGTTTACTATTGTAATCTCTTAGAGGAAACAATAAAGAGTCTATGATCATTATCCATTTTATGTCTATTTAAAAAAAATATTATACCAAAATTTTGTCAGCAGTTTTATAATCGAGCAATTCGAACTGTAAGATTATAACTAAAATGAATTTGTTTTATACTACTATGGTGGCAAACAAGCATACCACCTGTCTGATGGTAAACGATAAACGATGGAAAACTATGATAAACGGTAAAAAATTTTAAATTGCCCATCTCTAAAGCGGAGCGTGCATGTAACGAAATTTAAAAATTGGTAAACTAGTGTTAATTAATGCTACACTTTCACGGAGGATGTGAGTCATAAAACTGTTTTACTAAAATGCTAATATTATTAATGAATACTAAATGAACTTGAATACTGCCTGTGTGTACATGTAAAGTAATGGTAAATGGTAACATCATAAGAAATGTATTTTATTTATTAATAAAATATATGATAAACACGTATGATCATATTTTTATTACGTTATAATTTTAAATATAGAACGAAATGTAGTTTGATTAAATATTTTATATGGCATCCATCTGATGAAAAAGGGAGACAACCGTCGATTATAGATATTAACAGTACAATGATGTAATGATATCAGTCATTCATTGTCTGATGCTGAAAATCGGTCTCTCCGTATTGGGGGGTTTTACCAATAGTTAAAGTTTAGTAGTAAAGTATGGAGGAGTGATTACCTAATATGCATCATCTGTAAAACCTAAACTTGAGTAAACAATCTATTTTTATTATTAACAATTGTTATAAACAACAAATTTTTGTAATAAGTTACTGACCAATTGCATCCTTTTAAGGCATTTTTAAATGTTTATCTACACTAATATTATAAAGAGGAAGGATTTGTATTTTTGTGTGTATGTATGTTTGTAATGAATAAACTCAAAAACTACTTTGTCGATTTCAAAAATTCTTTCACCATTAGAAAGCTACATTTACCCTGAATGATATAGGCTATATTTATTGCTAGAACACTCAAGGTGTAAAAAAATGCTATAAAATTTCTTTCGTCGCGTGCGCTGCGGAAACCATTGGTGATAGAACAAAAATATATTCTACAATATTGAAGAAAATATCAATTACTACAAAACATTCGCGATACTATATGTCCAACTATTATCGTTATATCACACTTTTTAAAATGTTGTAAAAATGTCCACCTGTGCGAAGTCGAGATGGGCCGCTAGTATAAAATAAAATTTCTCCAAAATGTCACTAATATTTAAGTAATTTAATATTACCCCACATACAGCCTGTTGTGGAAACTGTGATAAATAATAAAATAAATAACTGTAATATAATTATATAATTTTGTATGATCAGGTATCCGACGATTGACCGTCGAAGTTTGGCCTTCCCTTCGTCCGTACCGCTGTTCTGTTTACCGATGGGCGCAACTCTCGAGCTATGGCCGAACATAGCGTCGCAGCCCAAACCGGTGTTTTCAACATTCGTACTCACGGTGGCTGATGCTACCGACAAGGTAATTACATAGATTATTATACGGATTAGTCTTGTATTGATTCATATAGTTATGCAATTGTATGCATGATTCTCTTATCATAAAATTATAATAAACTAGCGACCCGCCCTGGTTTTGCACGTGTACACATTACATCACATCACATTAGAAACCTCTAAAATTATCAGTGTTTCTCTACTATATTATGCATGTTTTATACATATAAACCTTCCTCGTGAATTACTCTGTCTTTAAAAAAAAATCGCATCCAAATGCGTTGCGTAGTTTTAAAGATCTAAACATACATAGGGATAGACAGACGGGAAGCGACTTTGTTTTATAATATGTAATGATGATTTGTATGTAATTTCATTCAAATTTTTGATCCAATATTAGAGTATATCCGATAGAAAAATAATTGGGGTGTTAATATTGTAACAATTATATAAATAATAAATTATGGCTGATGGCTTCTAGCTAAAGTTATATACATAAAAAAATCTATGCTGTTGGCCATGTCTGTAGACGACTGTTACCATTAAGTGGTATATCCATATTCCTTTTTATATATATTTTTTAGGTGTACGGCTCAGCGGTAACCTTCTATGAGAGTTTCCCACACACCCAACTGACGGAATACCAGGCCGAGACACTGGGCTGGCGTACCGGAGTGTCCCACACGTCACACTCAGTGCACGCAAACAAGTGTATCTGTTTACTGTCTAGGTGGCCCTTCAGTGACACTTTCGAGAGATGGTTGCTCTATATACTAGTGAGTATAACATTCAATGTATTTACATATATGTATATATATATATATATATATATATATATATATATATATATATATATATATATATATATATGTATGTGTGTATATGAGTGATATAAATTTCTGTAATTGCAACTTTACATTTATTTTATGTTTGGATCACATTACATGCTTACCATCAGTTGGGATGTGTTCACTTTGACTTGCTGCTATAAAATGTATATATATTAGTGATGATGATCTAAAATCCCATAACTTAGCCCAAGTCTTTTATAACCCATATATTTTAAAACTAATTTTTTAAAGCAGTATGTATTTCCATTTGGACAAAATTTGTATAAATCATAAAAGTAAACCGTTGTTCTAAAACAATCAATCATAGTTGGTGTATAATTTTCAAAGATATCATCATAAAAAATATTATTGTACACAAAATCTAGATTCTAGATTTTGTTTCAAATTAAAAAAAAGCAGCCAATTCAAATGTAAAAGAAATTAATAAAGCCCTATTAATTGTAAAAAGACCAATATCGGCTTCCTATTTGGCGAATATACCATACAAAATAATTTCAGATTTTATTCAACATAAATATAGTTTTTAATTGTGGCAAAACCACTTGTTTTGATTTAAAAACTAAATTATTGAACCGATTTTGGTAAAATTTTTTCAACGAGTGTAATCCGAAAATATATTCTTTTGGTTTTTCCAAATTGGTTTATAAATGATACAATTATAAGGTAACTAATATAAAATAATATAACTGAATTGAGAACTTCTTCTTGTTTTGAAGTCGGTTGAAAAAATGCGAGCATATTGAGAATTCCTTTTTGAAGTCGTTTAATAAAATGCAGTCAAATGAAGACTATTTCGTTTTTTGAGTAACAACAACAAAATTATACATACATATCTGTCACGCCTGTCTCCCATTAGGGTAAGCAGAAACAATTAAAAAAAACAAAAAAGAATTAAAAACAATGTAAAAACAAATTTGTCTTTCGTGCTTAAAAGACATAAAAAATTGTAGTTTGAAAAACTATCTTCCTTTCCTTATATAAAAAGATTCGTGACCAGCAGTGGGACTGTAATAAAGGGTGTGAAAGCTGATTTAGGGACTTAAAAGCAGAGGGCGTTGCATTCACTTGATTGGAGTGAAGACATGCTAAATTAAATATATTTGTAAAAAAAAAATATATCAATTTGATTGATATTGTTCTTTATAATCTATTATTTTTTCTTATAGGAAATGTCATGGAGTAAACAACCGCTTAGTATACCAATTGAAAGGTATATTGTGCACTTATTAGAAGAAGTTCCGTTTCCAGAACCAAGAATATTACTGCAGGTAACATTAGTGTTTTAACATTTTTTTTTCAAATAAGGCTACATTTATTAGGACTTTGTAAAGAACAAACATTATCAAAGAGCTATATCTATCTCTTAGCTTTGCCTACTCAAACCACACTGACTTAAAAAACCTTCTTAGTATAAAATAGATGACACAAAATTTATATAATTAATAGGTTACACAGATAAAAAATGGACTGCCTTATTCCTATAACTGATAACTGAGTAGATTTCACTATTAGTTAACCTTTCTTTTTTATGTAATACTAGCGAAGCAAAATGTATCTCCAAAATAATATATAGCCTCTGTTATTCGTTGACAATGTAGCTTTTTATCGGTAAAAGAGTTAAAAAAATTGATTGAGTAATTTTTGAGTTTATTCATTACAATCAAATTTTTCCTTTCGCCTTTATTTCTTTACGCCAGATTACTTATAATGTATAATGCAGATTAAATGACAATAGGCTGAATATTTAAACACTATATACAAGTATCTAAAAATCATTATTATTATCATCATCATTATATCGGCCGTTAACTGTCCATTGCTGAACATTGGGGGGGGGGGGGGGGGGGGGGGGGTTGCCACTATTTGCCATGCTTAACAGGTAGATTTGCAACCGCATTTAGGCTTTGGTGATATTTAAAGAGAGACGCTACTGCCCATCCCTCGCCTTGAAGTTCCCTTAGTCGCCTCTTACGGCCACGGGTTTTCCACGGGAAAGGAAGCGGTGGCTTATTCTATGCCAGGATCATACGGCGTACGTAAAAAATATTGAAAATGACTATATGAAATATAATAGCAAAATAGCCATTTCCACCCACATCAACCTCGCAATAATATCCCATCATGTGATTGTGAAATTGAAGTCATTCGCAAAATCTTTTTAATATAAAAATAAAACTGCTTTTGTAGTACTTGTTACCTTTACATCTATAATTTAAGAAATTATAAACAAATATGTATTATAAACAGCTCTCCCCTACAAATCCACAAGACCGAGTGATAGTGACACGTTGCGATGATCAGCCACTGGTGAGGAGTGGGGCTGGTTTCAGGCAGTTACTACTCAATTTGGGACCAGACAACTGTTTATCGTTGCTAGCTTTAGCCATCACAGAGCAGAAGATACTCATACATTCTCTCAGGTTGGTTAATATTTTATTTTGTAATAATTGAAACTATGAACTTGATTCCTTACGAATTTTTATTTATATTATAATAATAAATAAAAAATCGTAATACGTAGGAGTTATTACTAGTATATTATTTAAATACATAGTATGTTCTATTGTACAATTTTCTTTTAATATCTATTTAAAAAATAGTTATTAATATAATGTAATCAAATCAGGAATAGCAAGCTACGGTTTCCAATGGAATGTGTTTTGGGTATCATTTACATTATTTAAATAATGTAGCGCAACCTCATTCCTATTCATATTGTAAATTTTGCGATTATTTTTACAAATTCATTAAATAATTATTTCAAATATCACAATTAAATAAAAGACAAGAACTTTATTTAAAAAAATATCAAATTACATATTTGTGCATAATTAATAATCAATTTTCTATGATTTATTATATATTTTAAATTTTTTTTTTTTCATTCAGGCCAGACACACTAACAGCCGTTTCGGAAGCAGTATCAAGTCTTTTGTTTCCATTCAAATGGCAATGTCCGTACATACCTCTTTGTCCTTTAGGTAAGACGACTATTAAATATTATATAACTAAACTACGCATTAATTAACTTCCGAAACCATCGCATACATATCTATGCATGGTCAGATGGTATTACGTTATTCGCTTACGGTATCAATATGTTTGTGTACAGCATACATGATAAGATCCCTGGCAGATTATTGCGTTCAAAGGAAAAGTCATGTCTCTACAAATGCACTAATAATCCTTAAATATTATTATGTTATTTAATTAATTCTTTATATTTAACTAGCGTATATATCCGTGTCATATTTAGCTTTATGGTACTCATATGTATATTAATACTTTATTCATATTCTACATAGTAACATTGTAACAACTCTATATTACGTACATGATTGCATTATAATAAGTAATTAAATAAATACATATCCCATTCGTGTTTCAACCGTGAAGCAGTTGTGTTTGCATGGCTGTGTTTCGGTTTGAAAGGTGGGATATGGCGTGAATTTACTGGGTACAGAGGAATAACACCTGAGTCCTCAGGAATGGCAACGGATGGGGGGTATCATGGGCGAACCAGTATACTCTGTTATGTCCATGGTACTGCTCATGTCTATAGTCGACGGTTACCACTTTACATCAGGTGGGCCGTCAGCTTGTTTGCCATTCTAAGTTGTATAAAAAAAATATATATAAGTATGATATATTCAAAGTTTCATCAAACGGTATCGTGCTTTAACAGTTGTGCATCTCAATGTCCGTTAAACATAACACTAATTAGGTCCCATTACATTTACAGGTTTAGCTGAAGTACTACACGCTCCGTTGCCATACTTAATAGGGGTGGATTCGAGATTTTTCGATCTCTTCGAACCCCCACCTGATGTGACGTGTGTCGATTTGGATACTAATAATATTACTGTGAGTATTCATTTTTTGTTCGATATATTCAGGTTGAAGAATGAGCTCCCTGCCATTTTGTATTAATTGTATCTTATGGCTTCAAAACACGTACGTGGTTTTCCCAAGAGACTGCAGCATGCAGTTTTATACTGTAATGCATTTTCATACTGTATGTACATAATGTGTGTACTTTTGTTTATACTACGAGAGCATCTATCATTATTTTACGTATATTTGTAAGCATGCTAGTTTATAGAGCCCAGCGTAAATATCTGACCTTTCCACAAAAAAAAACCGACTTCAATTATGATAAAACTAATAATTTTTATTTCAAAACTAAAGTACTGAACTGATTTTGATAAAATTTCTGTAGGACCAATCTGTAAGTATACTCTTTCAGATAAAAAAAATCGAAATCGGTTTAAAATTGATAGACTAATGAGGTACATATATATATAATGAAAATAATATACTTATATATTTGTAATTAAAATGATCAAAAGTGTCTCATGTTATATTTAGTAAATTTGAGTTAAAATTACTTTTTTTCATTTGCTTTCAGATATGTGAGTCGCTGCGTGAAATTATATCGACTAAAATGTTACCGAAGCGGCAAGCAAAAGCTTTAAGAAATACTCTAGAATCGCTTTATGGAAATATTAGACCCGGTACTTACTTCAGTTTTATTATATATGTCATTGTTATGTATACTTATCTAATCTTCATAATATGACACTTAGAGAATATTTTTTTACAGCATCCCCAGTACACCATTCAACTGATAGTAAATACAATGGAGAACCAACGACGAGTTTAGATAGAGATTTTCAAAGGAGAAGAAAAGAGGTATGTCTTTGGTTTAATATATCACCTTATTAAAATAATACAAGTGTTTGCCAGTTTTCTGTAGCTGTGATTAAAAAAGTATTAATGAACTATCATCATCTTGCCCTTATATTAATTATCTGGGGTCGGCATTATATGTTTTTATCCATATTACTGAAGGTTTTAGCTTTTAGTTTATGTCAGGACGCTTGCCTGACGCCAACTGTCCTCGGGAAATAAATGAATGAACTATATAGTATGCGTATTACATTAGGCATATATTTTATATTAGCTTTAACCTACTTATGTATTAATTCTGACAGTGTAACTCTCGATGCGATAATTTTCTCTTAATTTTTTTTTTTTTATACTTAGAATGGCAAATAATCTGTCGTCCTCCCTGATAGAAAGCGGTAACCGTCTCCTATAGACATGAATTGCACCTGGTACCTATGATAAGTTGCCTTTCTGTGGGACTACGGTTACAAAATGGGGTTATCAGTTAGCAATAGTTTACATCTTTTTAGAGGCCTATCAGGGAATCACGTGATAATGTAAGGTGTTAAAAAAGACAATTAATCAGTTGAACAACTGGTTATTAAAGAAAGAAAATTATATGCTTATATTTTATTTTAGCAAGCCCTAGAACTGAAAATACAAGAGGCATTTCTTCGATTCATGGCGTGCACGTTACAAGGTTATCGAAGCTATCTCATTCCCATAACGAAAGCGCCTACAGTCGGCACTACAGATCCACACGCGTTGTTCCATATGGATGCGTTTTTGAGCTCCAGAGACAAGGTATGTAATGTTTGTAATCTAAAATTGCATTAGAATTTATAAACTATTGTTATTATTCAGTATTCTTCTGTCCTTTATAAGGTCTGGTAGAAATTACTGAAGCAATTACAGCTACTTTAAAAAATCATAGATAAAAATATGACATTCTGTGTTTCTATTTATATTTTATTTCTACAATAAAATTTGTACCTGCAGAAATATTCTTATTTTATGCAACATAGAATGTTGAACGATAGAATGCCCAACTGATAGAAAGTGGTAACTGTCGCCTATGTACATGAACAGTACCGTGGACAACGGAGTCTGTTTTTATGATACCCTTTATGTGTTGCTATTCCTGAGGACTAAGGTGTTTTTTTTTGATGGGTGAAAATGGTATGGTAGCCCCGCCTGCGCTAACGGAATACGCTGGCGGAGCACCAGTGAAGGGTGATAGATGAGAATGAAAACAGGCCAGTTAGCCCATCATGATGAATTCATCAGGAATTAACCATGATAGTTTCCAGGGGGAACTGCGAGAAGGTCGACCTGGTTGGGTATATTGCTAGCAATGGGATTCTCAGTCTCCATTACTAACAATCCCTTTCTCCCCCTGGACTAAGGTGTTATGCCTCTATACCCTTTAATTTCACTGCCATATCTCACCCTTCAAACTGAAACACAGACATGCAAACAGAACTGCTTCACGGTAGTAACACGAATGGGACAGAGGTTCCTAAGCAAACTACTTTTGTACAAAGTACAAATACATAATATTTTTTTAATTTGTTGTAATATTTTATATAACAGACGCAGCGCGGTTTCTTCGCGTTAATGATGCGAACGCAAATGTTCACTCGTTTCATCGAGGAGCGATCGTTCGTATGCGACGTGGACCAAGGGCTAACGTTTTTCGACGAATGCATCGAACGTGTCGCGACTTCCGCTGACGGGCCGCTGCTCGGCTGCGATGCACCGGTGTCTGACCGGACCGTGTTCGTCCTACCGCCGGATCCACCCGACCCTGGTAACTGAACGACCTATCTAATCTTTGCACTTATACTTTATAACCGTTTTTGAACGTATACCGTATTTCGTCAATTAAATAATGAATGTAAAATCCAAAACATTTGTCTTAATAAGTTATTTAGCGAATTAATTTTATCATATTTTTCCGATATCGCTCATATTTATTTTTTATTTTTTAAAACACTACTATGTATAAAGCCAAGCCAAGCCCTAATAAAACATATCTTGACTTATTATTTTTCATATTGTTTAGTAACTTATGAAAACTAATACAAAACAAACGTACAAACTTTTGTTAAAATTATTTTTATTTTAAAAACATATTTTTATAGTTATTTTATATTACAGTAATGTTTAAATCCATGTTTTGATTAAAAAAATTTCGAATCGGACGGAAAGCTGATCCATTTTAAGGTTTTCATACCAAATGTTCTGCAACTTTCCAGAAGAAACATATATATACGAGAAGTTGGATTTGGACTCGGCGCTGGTGGCGAAGTGTCGCAACCGCAGCCGCAGTGGCGCCGTACAGCTTCTGCCTGCAGCTGCACTTGCGTCAGCTGAGTCACTGGCTGATGCTTCGCCTATGGCTCGTCGCACCAAGCACGAGATCGCCGCCGCACAGAGGTAACCTCACCTACATTACATATTATACTACATCTAACCAGAGAGCAGGCGGGGGGGGGGGGGGGGTTCAGGAATTGTTAATAATGGGACTTAATGACCTTATTTCTAGCAATATAATCAGGTCGACTTCCACATGGTCTCTACTAGAAACCATCATAGTTAATTCCTATAAAATTAATCACTATGGGCTAACTTATTTTCGATCTCATCTCATCAAAAAGTCTGTCATCTTCTGCTACTTCTCAAAATGCACACATAATTATGATTACATCATACAATTAATATACAAAAGTGTCCATCTCAAGCGTTTTTTTTTATACAACTTAGAGTGGCAAACAAGCTGACAGCTCACCTGATGGAAAGTGGTAACCGTCGCCTATAGACATAAGCAGTACCTAACAGAATATACTGTTTCGCCCATGATACCCCCATGCGTTGCCATTCCTGAGGACTCGGGTGTTATTCCTCTGTACCCTGTAAATTCACGCCATATCCCACCCTTCAAACCGAAACACAGCCATGCAAACACAACTGCTTCACGGTAGAAACACGAATGGGACAGAGGTACGCAAGCAATCGACTTTTGTACAAAGTCTCCCTCTGGTGAAACCGTTATTTGTTATTTGTATGTTAGTGTCTACTAATTGAATAACACGAAACTTTCTCTTTTCAGATTAGCACGTAAAGCCAACTTATCACCAGAGTCGTGGGCCAAATGCTTACTGGGTGCCTGCTATTCCCTATATTTCTTAACACTACCATGCCGATTGATGCTCTGTCGAGGTAAAGAACACGCGACCTTAAGGTCCGCTTACGAGTTGCTCGAGCGAGCTACCAAACTTAAGGTGCCGTGTGATGAGGTGAGTCGAGTTTTTATATTATTACTGACATAGAAAATAGGCATGGGTAATATAAATACGATTATGATATCTATCTATATATTGGGTTGCTCTGAATATTGATAATGGATAAAAGTCATCACGCATTTCAATATCGGCCATATCGGTCGGATATCTATTTACCAATATGTTAAATCTGTTATCCAGTATTTTTTTTTTTTTGATAACAGGCTTTTAACTTATTCGTTATTGAACTGGTATATAGATATTGTAACTAAAATATATAGCTATAACTATGTAGGGGTAGGTACCCCTAATAGAAAACGCTTTTTTTTTTTAATTTAATTACCGTGTAATTACGGTTTAAATTGTTTCTCAAGAGAATACAAGTATTTACTTAAATGAGATTACATCTAACTAATAACTAATTATATTATCATATTGTATCTGGGAGCGTACAAATGGCGGTGTACAAATAAAACATTCCTCTCATAAAAATTGGAAGTATTTACATAAAACAGAGCTAAACAACTGAAAACATAGAAAAACATAAGAATGTTTAATACCATTTAAACCTCTCGGGTTTGTGTGGCACAATTAAATTTTATAAATAATAAATTAAACAGTAGATACATTTTCGTTGCGCTATGCATAATAGAACGAGACAGCAATTTCTCGCCTCTTTTTCTTTACGATAACGACATATTTACTGATTAATTCATTTACCATATGTCTGGACTTAAGAGTGGGCATATATATAGAGATACACTTATGGACATGACGTTACGCTTTCAAAATTATCTTCTGTAAACCTTTGTTTAAATTAAATTTTATTTATTTAGGAATTGCAAATCGGAATTCTGATACTGAGTATATTAACAATTTTGAATAATTTGTTATCCAGGTGTGCTACCGCGTGATGATGCAATTATGTGGTATCCACTCTTTGCCCGTCCTCGCCGTGCAACTCCTGTTTCTAATGAAGCGCGCCGGTCTGCAGCCCAACGCTCTCACCTATGGTTACTACAACCGATGCGTGCTGGAAGCTGCCTGGCCTCAAGACATGCCTAGGTCTTTCTATTTTTCATTATAGGATTAGTCAAATTTTCGAAGTAGAAAACACGATTTATACAATAGGTATTCGTATAAAAGATTTGTTTTTCAATTGAATAATTTCAGATATCAATGAATTTTATTTCATGAAAATTCGTCACTCAATGTTATGGGATGGGTTTACGATGTTCACGTGCTTGGAATATAAAAAAATTATTGTATAAACAAATATCCCCTGTTCGTTTATAACGACCAAATCAGTAAACGAACGGGTATTTATTTGTTTTGTTAGATTTAGATTTAGTTGTGATAGAATATTCTAAAGGCAAGTCCAGTAGGAGGGTATTTGTTGAAAAATTTTTCTAACTGTAATTCGACTTAAAACACGAATATGTCGATTGTTGGAAGAAAAACCTGTGAGGCAGCACAGAAGATGAATTCGAATTTCAAAATGATTTAAATTCGACTTGCTCATTCATTTAAATGTTTCTTTTTTTTTTTTACATATGGTTTTTTCGATGAGCGAATGAAACGAGTGCGCGAATGCTTCGTCAACTGTAACAGAACGTAATGTTTTGATATACAGCGTCTTTTGATTATTTATTTAGTTTCTTTATATAATATTTTATTTTATATATTAGTTAAAATAACAGTGTAGCATACCTTTTATGATTAACCATTATAAATAGCGAATAGTCGAATAAGATCCCATTCGTATTTTGTTAACAGTGGATCTCAGTTATTGTGGAACAAACTTCGCATAGCCGTGATGGGTGCCGCCCTATTCCGCAAAGCGGGCGCGCAACGTGCCAGCCGTGTTGCAGCCGCCACCGCTGGTAGCTCCACTGCCGCTGCCACCACCACCACCACCACTACCACTACCACCCTCACAACAGGGGCTGGTGGGTACCAAATGTATATTTGAATGTAGAGGACATTATAAGATAAACATAAGTGTATATTGATGTTGCAAGTTTTTGCTGTGCATTGAAGTCTGAACTCCTTTGAATGATTACTAATAAAAATAAGGGCTTAATCTGTAAAGGAGGTATTATTTGTTTTTTTTTTACATTTTGCCCGGTTAGTATTGTTGATCATATGTGGCGATTGACATACATTGCCTTATTTAAAGTTATTTCCGGTGGAGGGGTAGGGGGGGCGAAGGCTGGCCCCTTAATAAAGGGGTATTTGGTGCTGTTCACTGTTGAACATAGGTCTCCTTCATAAGAGGAGAGTTGTCAATAGTAGCCACGCTTGGCAACAGCGGTTAGGTTTTGGTGATATTTTAAGAGAAACACTGCTGCCAATAATCATGACTATTTAATGAAATAAGGTGCATATGCTCTCTTAATTATGTACTTGGGTATGGCTGATAATTCTGCTTCTGATATTCGACAATTACGAACAACAATATGTTGTGACAAATGTAACCCTATAGTATCAGATGGGCTGATATGCTTGTTTGCTATCTTTGGTGGTAACAAAAAAGAATTATAAAAGCGGTAATTTTTACATTCTCAGGTGAGAGCGGTACGCTGCCACGTGTACGGTCTGCGGCGACGGTAACCGATGGAGGGGAGGGTGCTAGTGGAAGTGGAGGTGGACTGGCTGCCAGCCGCACCAGTCTAGACTCTGGTATGTATCGTAACTACACTTCACTAAAATTATAATATTACCGTAACTATGATAAATAAGGTAACATTACATCATACTATTGGGTACGAAACTAACTTAATGAGATTAAATTTTTCCGTCATCACATAGAAGTATTTCACTATAAATAATAATAATATCTAATAGGCTTTATCCGATTAAGAAATCATTAAATATTACATTTATCGGTAGTCACGCCAATGATGTTTGATGTGAGCACACCTGAAACTGAAAAGTACTGAATTCGTTTTCTAATCTATTTCTTGTGAAACGCTGAGAAGTATTCTGATTGTACAATGTTAAAATGCATTTATCTTTATAATTTACTGAATAACTGAAATATATTCAAGCGTCGAACGGAAGAGAGAGAATCATAGACAATCCAAGTTACATTTTTTACTAGATCATAGACTATAATAAACTGAGATACTGCCCTTTAGGAATAAATTATGATTAATAGGAACTGAATACAAAAATGAGTATAAGATATGTTGGAGTAAACAGTCATCACTTTATTTCTTTTTGTTTTAAAAAGCTCTCAATTATTTTATGTACACCATAACGCATTGTTTTCGCCGATTATAACTCTATATTTTATAAATTCTATTCAATTGCTCTTGTGTAGATGACATCTTTATTTACAATTTAAGTGACTGTCATGCTGTTAATATAATAAATGTATTGGTTGTGTTGTGTTATGTACAGCGGGTCGTCGTTCGAGTGCGTGGGAGGCGCTGTGCCGCCGAGCGACTATAGTGCGGGCCGCACCGGCACGCCCTCTAGCGCCCGCGCTTTCGGCGGCCGCAGGGATCCTCATATCCGGTCAGTCATCTCTGAATTATTTAACAGCTCACTCACTCATACTTTTACATTTACTTGCACTCATTTAGTACTCATACGCACACACAATCGTGTGTGCGTACGAGTCGATTGCTTGGGTACCTCTGTCCCATTCGTGTTTCAACCGTGAAGCAGTTGTGTTTGCATGGCTGTGTTTCGGTTTGAAAGGTGGGATATGGCGTGAATTTACTGGGTACAGAGGAATAACACCTGAGTCCTCAGGAATGGCAACGCAAGGGTGGTATCATGGGCGAAACAGTATACTCTGTTATGTCCATGGTACTGCTCATGTCTATAGGCGACGATTTTTACTTTCCATCAGGTGGTCCACCTGTTTGTCAGCTTGTTTGCTATTGTAAGATATATAAAAAAAAAACAATCATTCATTCATTCAGTTGTACTCATTATCTTACAGTAATGAAAAAATCAGTCGATTTGATGTTTCTTATATTCTCAAAAAGTCTATCGTTTCCTTATCTTACATTCCCAGCAGAGTTTTAAACGTGACTTATTTAGTCTAAATTATTTTTAGACTAATGGGTGATATTGAATATTACGACATATTACAAATATATATATAATTTTTAAAATTTTCAGGTCTACCATCTAACCCTGACCTTAGTGAGAAAACTAGACTGCGAAGTAATTCATTAGGAAATGACGATTTGACAAGTCCATCGCCACTAAAAATGACTGAAAAAAGACAGGTATGAAAAGACACCTTTTACTGTTACATTCTATTTTTATGTCTACATTATATTTTGTAATAGCTATTTTAATTTTATGTATCCTTAATCACGTTGTTAATTTATAAGTATTCTATTTTAGACGATACATGTTAGTCCGGATAGTCCGACAGATCTAAGGATTCTAACCAGATCAGAGAGTTTCGCTGGTGATGCACAGATTATACAAAATCTACAGAGGCTGTCATTCAATAGTGGTGGTATGTTTTATATCATTTATTATTTTAGATATTATTTTCTTTTTTTATGTTAATGGCTAGTTTTTGCCCGCTACTTCGTACGCGTGGTTTTTAGAAGTAGGAAAACCAATGAATTAGATTACTTCTATATGTCGTATCACAATAAAACATATATCAGTTTTTAAGTTAGATCTTCTGGAAATCAACTACGAAAACAACATTCAATTTGGCGCAATAATCTTTGCGTGATGCCGGAATGAACAGACAGACAGATAAACTTTCTAAAAAATATTGTTTTAGCTTTTATTACCTTTATTAAGAACTCTCGTATTAATTTTTCTTAAATATTTCCCATGGACAATATATAGATATTTTTTTCTTTTTGCTACTCAAGATTATTTAATAGAAATCTGTTTAAGGCATAAGTCCGTCTGAGTATATTTTTGTTATAATTTGATATCTTTTTTATAAGTGAATGTAAAAAAGCATATACTCGTTATTAAATAAATAAGACCAGTCTTATAATTTTAACGACTGACTTGATAAGTTATTTATGTAAAATCGATTTTCGTAGGTACTACAAGTAATAAATCCCGGTGTAGTCGAACTCTGAGTTTCCCAGAGGAACCGGATAAAGAGGCAGCCGCCACTGACTCCTTAGAAAAAGCTAAGGACTCCCCATTAAAGTAAGTACAAAGTTTTATTTTTTTCACACAATCATATACGCCTACCAAAAGAGAATCAGTAGCTGTCTTAGGTAATGTTTAGTTATTGTAACTTGCCGGCTGGCAAAATGCAGCAAAAGCAATATAATGACCTGTCTATGGGAATGTATCACCTCTACTGATTGAGATATGACAGTGAAATTACAAAATAAAGAGGCGCAATATTTTTAACCTTAGAAATAACAGACCCATAGAGGTCACAGTGTTTTAATGTTCATACTACTATTCACGTTTATAAGCGCCTGTTCCCACTATCCACTAATCGTCAACTTCCATTATATTTGCATAAAAAATGTCGTATTAGTGCTGCATTAGGTCGATTTTTGATCGCCGATCATCCGCTATGAACATCAATACATATGTAGATACTACTATGTACATACTACGCGTAATGACGTCGATGGTTGTCGGTCGTCGCCGGCGAAAAATCGATCTTCCAAGACGAAAGATCGCCAACGTCGCATTGCATGTTTGCTTATGTAATTATAAAATATAGCAGTTACGTTCGCCAATTAAATTACGGATTATCGGTGAAGATATGCTTAATATGACGTTAACCTTAACTTTACGAGAGCTTAATCGTGCACTGTGTTCGCAGAGTGTCACCCCGTACACCGGTGCTCTCAGACGATCCTTTGGGAGCCCTAAACCTAGACGCCGTGTCACCGGTGGCGCCCCCCACGGTGACGGACGAGTCGCCTCCACCCGCGCCACGCCACGAGTACAGTGTCAGCCCCAAGCTATTCCATCGCCGCTCCTCGTTCCAGGACGACCCGCCTGAACCGCAAGGGTATACACCTTCCTTGAATTGTATTGACAGTAGAATTTTTTTTTTTCTAGTTTATTGTCATTCTAAATGTTTGCACTATTCCACCATTTAATTATTATATTTCATTTAAAAGATTTTGATTTTTAACCTGGGCCTATGTTAATTTTGATAAAATTGCACTATTTTTCATTCATTTTTTTTACCGAATCATTATAATTACAGTATGTAACGGGTGAACACGTTATTTATTGAGAATTATATGTATTACAATATATTACAATATTTAACAGCAAAACAGTATTATATGATATCACTAGGACACTCATCACCCAACTACTCTCTCGTTCGTTAGTCGCGAACTTTCTCGAAGCGCGAGAGGCGCGCTCCTATTGGTCGGTCGCGCGGTTACCGCGCGACGCGCCTGCGCTGTACGTTTAGATGGGTCTCACGGCGTAGGTACTTACTATGCGTGCGTAATATATATACTTTTCGGTGTTACAAGTATATTTTTGTTATAGGTAGATAGATAACACAATAATTACAGTATATTTTTACTGTAGATAGATAACACACAATACTATTTTCACAAAAAAAATCTAATCTTGAATTTATCTATACATTATTCTTCCTTAGCACTGCACTATGTAAATTCTCCATCACTTAATCCTCCATCCACGCTTCCTATGACGGTACTGCCCGCTAACGCCCCTTTATCGCTAGTGCTGCCCCCTAATGGAGCAAGATAACCTCGATAGTTTCCTCCTCGTCAGGAAACTGCACAGAAGTGAGACGGCGCCGGGCGGCACGGTGTCTTCTAGTCTCGCGACGCTCGGTAATACACTCAAGATTAGCTTCGGGTGAGTCGATGTGATTTGGTGTGACATTAATTTGGTTTCTAGCATCATTGTGTGTATTATGTTAGCGAAGAACAGAAAAAACTGATAGATATGGCGTTACGACATTTTTCGTAATATTTTTAAATCTATGGATTTACACATATTAATGTATGTGTTTTATAATACAATCATTAATAAACTAATAACACCTTAAAATTGCCCATACCAAAATTATCTCAATAACAAGCGAGTAATTTACGAACTAATTTACGTAATAGACTTTGTACTTTAAATAAAATAAAAAACATTGTCCATATAAGTTTTCATTTACATTTAGCCAAAATAATTAATTATAATAAACAAAATATTTAATACCTTTTTTTTCATTATTGAATTAGTACATTAGTATAATTATCGAGTTTTTCGTTATACTAAATCAAGAAATATAACGCAATAGCGAGTCACATGTGTCTACGTGACTACGAACGGAGTTTAGAAAAACAAATATACTTTACTCGTATTTCAAATAGTTAAATGTTGAATATACGACATTCTTTATTGGGATTCAAACGTCTAGCTTAAAATCTGGTATATGTTTCATTTTAGTACACCATTCTAAAACTGGTATATTTCATTGGTTTTTCTATTTCAGAAAACCACATATACGAAGTAGTAGCAACAAATCTAGTTAATAATAATTAAATTATTATAGTCAATTTGCCATATCTATTTTGTACTTCACGTGTTTTTACTGTTCTATTATACTTATGTAATATTACCAAAAGTTATATTTTCTTGTTGTGCAAATCATTATTTGATTGTATCTGATTGTTAAATAGTTTAAAACCAGATATATTTATCAAAATGACAGATTATTCGACTTTAACGTCAAACTCTAATTAATTAACAATAATTAAAAAAACACTCAAATAATGTTCCCATTTTGATGCTTAGAAACAATTCACAGTGTTAGAATATAATTGGACCATTAAGAAATATGGGAATCTTTCACCATCTACTGATATGTTTCACAGTTAATCACAATAATATGTATGCAATTTAGGCATGTTTCACTACCATATTTCGTTTTTGCTATAAATGTTTTTATTTATTAGTTATACATCTACTACTTGGGTCTATGTTATTGCATTACATCACACTGACAAAATTAAAAAGGAAAAATAAAACTAAATCATTTAGCATGTTGTCATCTATTATTGATACCAACAATATTATTGTAATAAAAGGAAAATGGCAGATACGTTACATCGCACTGAAAATGTGATGGTCTAAATCGATGTTAATTGATTGTTGATTAACAAAAAGTAAATTAAAAAAATGAAAATATTTATTAGGTAAAATTTCGTTTAATGTTGCCAAAATATCAACTGGGCGATTAGAGTCGTCAAGTAACTTTGTCGGGAAAAATTATGTATGGGGCTTAAAAATTTTAGAAATGTTCAAGTGGATCATGGCACAAAAAAGGTTGGGAAACACTGGTCTAATTGCTAAAATAGCGCCTCTAATAGTGATATTAGAGCGCAAATGTCAAATAGTGGCTATCTTATTTATTCTTATTGTTTTAATCACTCCTAAAAGAAATTTTAAATTATTTTGATAATGTGGTGAAATATATAAATGAAATAAATTAATTCCTGTGTGTTATGACGTTCAAAACTTTTTTTTTTATTGTTTTCTGAGTATGTAACGTATCTTTTTTTAATAATTGCACACCGCCATCACTATTTAACCAGCATCTAATGGAATTTCATTAAACTTTTATAACATACACCCAAATAGTATAAATGTAACACATGTACATATTGTTCGAACGCACTCAATGCCTCAAGTCTGCTAGCCTGTTTGTTTTCTTAGACGCTATTCGCCAGCCAGACTGTCCTTGCGAAAGGAAAACATGAAACTCGGGAAAGCAATGATCGAGACATACTTCAGGTAAGAGAATCACGCTTCACAATCGTTTAGATTTCGTGCCAATGGTAGCTTTAGTATACTTGAGTTTTAATGAAATATTAATATGTAAATAAAGCAGTAGAATGCCTTTTTCGTCCACTAAACTAGTGAAAAATATTTTTTTTATATTGTCTTTTTATGGTATGTCGGTTAGGATTGGGAAGGTGACGTGTCGACATTGGTAGAACTGTCGAACCAGTTAGAGCTGGTTAAAAGCGGTTTATATATTACAGATTAATACGTCCAGACCAAATAATCACTATAAAACAAATTAAAATTCGTATTTAAAATTTATTTATATTATTGTCACGACTATCTTGCGGTGGCACTTGTCATTTACAACCAAGCAAGTGTGTTATAAAAACCATCTGCTGAATGACCCCCACCAGTCCATACCTTCGTACCAAACTCATAGATACTCTCATAACTGCATGAATGCATTGGCATCCAATCATAATTTGCATTAATTTTTGGCACGATCAGAACACTAGCTTGTATGATTTTTTTTTTTGCGAATTTCAACCCTATGCCCTATTAATTATACCCATTTGTTCTGTTTTTTTTTTTTTTTTTTTATAATACTAAAACTATTTTTCCAGTCCCTCGAGTATAGCGGGAAAGAAGTCCAATGAACTCCTACAAAGTGGACTGAGTAGCCTCAAATCGGCAGCCACAAGTATTGGCAAGAAATTCGACGAGATGAAAGAAGTTATATCTGCTAACTCGACACCGGTGAAAGGCGCATTTGGTAATGCCACCAGTGCGTTGAGCAGTCTGATAGCTGAGGAAGATTCAACGGATGGCTCATCAGAAATTAATCCTGATGGTGAGGGATGACTTTTATATACACTTCTTTTTACATTACGTACATAGTATAAGTCACATCTAAATTGGTTTGTTCGAAATTCTGGAGTTAATTCAGATAAATAACGCATAAAAGAAAACATTTCTGTGAATAAAGTTCACAGGTTGGTTTTAATTACTAAAAGTTCTCTTTGTCTTAGCTTCTATTTTGTCCAACTTTGTGGTATAAAGGTGTTATTTGGTCTCGACAGAATGGATTGGCGGCACGTCATTCCAACGCGCGTCGAGCGACGCAGAGCTTGCGTGCGCGATGGAACGTGGCTCGCTCGCCACACTTCTCTCACATCTGCCCGACAACCTTTATCCCACACACAACGTAAGTTGATTTCTTAACTGACAATTTTCCAAAACAGCCCCGATACGAGTACAGTTACATATTACAAAGTTTATTTTTTTTTACCAGGATTATCTGCTAACAAGGTTTTCTATCACTAATGCTCTACTAAAAAAAAGAGATTGTCATTCATATAAAAAAAAAAATATATTTTCTCTAAGCATCGTAGCACAAATACTAAATACTATATTGGTCTAAATTTGTTCAACTCAGCGCTTATTGCTGAGACAGCGATCTTCATATTTTGACCACACTTCCTGCTCACCAACAGATGGGGTGTGTTCGCTTTAATCAGCTATTATACATAAAAAAATAATAACATTCCGTTTCTAGGAACAAAATACTGGTCCGGCGAGTGTGGTGGTCCACATGTCGTCGTGTTCGCAGTGCCACCAATGCCTGGCGTTACTCTACGACGAGGACATCATGGCGGGCTGGGCGGCCGACGACTCCAACCTCAACACGCGCTGCACCGCGTGCGGGCAACACACCGTGCCGCTACTAGCTGTACAGGTCAGCTATCCACGCGGCCGCCATTTTGTTGTATATAAAACTTAGTATTGTAAATTGAATATTTATATAAACATATTGCATGAACAGTAGTTATTGGTTATGGCTATATCCCACCCTTCACACCGAAACACATCCATGTAAACACAACTGCTTCACGGTAGAAACACGAATGGGACAAAGAGTTTTGTACAAAGTCTCCCTCTGGTATATATATATATATCGCCGTGTGTGCCCTGGCATAGAATGAGCCACTCCTTCCTTTTCCATAAATGTTATTAGGGAGGCGAATAAGGGAGGGCGCCAATCGTGACAACTACTGGAAAAACTTCCCTTATGGGGAAGGCTTATGCTCAGCAGTGGACAGTTAACGGCTGAAATAATAAATAAAAAAATATATACATAAGATTTCTAAATAAGGGAGCAAGTATTTAAAATGAGATGTTATTATTTTTCAGATAATCCGAACCAATCAAACACAAGCCGAAGTATTGAACGTGCCTTATTTAAATCCTCTAGTGCTGAGGAAAGAGTTTGAATCTATTTTAGGTAAAGCAATTTTTTTTTCTTATATATTTTTAACACATTTTTTATGTAATTTTAAAATATAAAATGTATTTGTTGACAGGTAGAGAAGGAGATTCGTGTCTCGCGGAACCCGAATTCGTGGAATCGCATCCGATAGTATACTGGAATTTAGTATGGTTCTTAGAACGTGCCAATATAGAGAACCATTTACCGGACCTATTGTGTCCGGACTTCCAAGCCAAGTATCAGAGTTCGGACGCTCTGTCAGAAGTCGAGAAATCTGGTGAGTATTGATACTAATATGTAAATTATTTTTTCTCCAACATGCTTGGAAATGTGAGCATTATTTTGACAATCTTCTTAGAGATAAATCAAAATTGCCATACTGGCCAGATACATGTGGGCAGCGGCAGGCAAAAAATGTATGAAAATCCATGTCTGTCGTGTTTTGCGGCCAGATAAATTACTATGTAAACTCATATCTGTCCTGTAATTTAAAAATGGAATGACCTTTTAATTCGAAACATGGCTACCAAGGAGGTAACTAATAAAAGGTTTTATTTAAATTTCGAACTGGCTTGCAAATAGAAAGCTGTTTATTGAAAAAAAAACAAAGGAACATTATGGCGCGTGAAAAATTATTATTGTTCGTTATTCATCATTGAACTTAAAAAGTAAAATTGTGTTTATGATTTCCGCGCATTGTTTGAGAAAAGTACTATACAAGCCTTGGCCACAATTAGATATTGATGGACTCACGTATGTATGACTCGGCTACGCCTCGGCCCACATTTGCACGTTCGTCCATCAATGCCTCAGTTGCTGACCGCTGCAATAATGTACTATTGTATTATTAAGTTCTAGCTAATGCCAGACTGAAGAAGATGACAAAAAAAATCGTCAGATAATAGAAGGTAAAATGATAAAGGCGATGACGATCTGCTCATAAGATCAACACTTTCAAAAATAATAAAAGTGATTGATTTGATTTTTATAAATAATTCGCTTCTGTGATCTGAGATTCGACTCGTTAAGATTTTTAAATATTTTAAAACGTCTTATTGTTCAAACACATATGCCTATAAAATTGCAAAAGAAGTCCTAAATAAATAATTTTAAATTTCTCGATCATTTCTTTCTACGAAAGGAGTTTTCAACTAAGGTCAACATACAAAATATATAAGTAACAAATGGTTGCTTCAGGATGCAGCGTCCGGTGCAGTTGGGACGTAAGCCGGCTGCACGGTGAAGCGGGCGCAGCGCTGTATCGAGCGTGGCGCGCGCGCCGCACGCACACGCAGCGCTCGAGAGCGCTTCAAGCGCTGCTGCTTACAGAGCATCACGCCGCCGCCACGCACTCGTAAGTACCATACTCCCGCTTTACTAACTTAGACGAGCATCACGTTCGGCGGATCTTCAGCGACTGAACGTAGCCGTCGCATTCAGCATATCTTGAGTCGGATTTTATTTTAACCAACGTATCCAGATGCCGCGATTCGTCCGCTGAATGTGGCATGTCACGTCAGAAAACATGCAATGTGAAATTGTACATTGTATACAACTTGATAACATTCCGTCAAATCTGTTTAATGTGACCGTAGCCTTATACTAATGTACCGCGTTACACACACGTTAACGATGTATACATTGAAAATCTATTGATTTCTAATTTTTTAAAATATTTTTATTAAAATGTTTATAATATCATCGTCATTGGAGGAATTCTCACTAAGACACGCTTTTTATTATACCTATGGAAATTTCGAAGTCAAATAAATGAAACATATTTAAATACATAAATTATAAATTTTTGTTGCATTTTTACAGCGTGGCACTGACAGTGCTTAATGGTCTGCTAAGCAACGACCTGTCGGAAGCACTGCGCAAACTCGCGAGATGGCGGGAGACAACTTCTGAGAACAAACGCTATCACTCGTATTACAGGTAAGTAAAAAGATAAAGTATCGATATATGGTAATTACCATAGTTATTATCCCTTCTTCCCCCGACTACATAGGTGTCTCTGTCGAACTTGTTTTAATGACATTACTTATTACCTTTGGAGGCATAACACCTTAATCCTAAGAACTGTCAACGCATGAGGGATTCCATAAGCGTCACGGTACAGTACTTATGGTGTTTTTTATCTATAAGCTACGGTTGCCATTTTCTATCAGGTCTACTTGCACCTTATTGGCTATTTAAAACTGTACTTAAAACTAGTTTTAGTTGTTTGTGTTTTGTTTCTTTCTTTCGATCTAAATTTTTAGTTTGAATGTAAGGGACAAAACAACATGTAGACAATTTAAATTATTTTACAGAGATATCCTGTTCCTCGCAATGGCAGCACTAGGCGAGTACAACATAGATCTGGTGGCGTTACAACGCGAGTACACACGCGCACTAGAACAACTTGGAGACGAGGCGCGACCACAGGTCTGCCATTATACTTATATTCCGTATGACCGCGACGTAGCAGTTAAATTGCCAAGATGTAACAAATACAGTTAGATATAACATTACTAGTTTTTAGGCTTCGTCTACATAACGTAAAATGTAGGGGGGAAAGGGATTGTTAGTAATGGAGAGTGAAAATCCCATTGCTAGCAATATACCCAACCAGGTCGACCTCCTTGCGGTTCTCCCTGGAAACTATCATGGTTAATTCTTAATGAATTCATCATGATGGGCTAACTGGCCTGTTTTCATTCTCATCTATTACCCTTCACTGGTGCTTCGCCAGCGTATCCCATTAGCGCAGGCGGGGTTATCATACCATTTTCACCCATCAAAAAAAAAACGTAAAATGTAACTTATATGTTTCTCTCTTCATCCCAAATAAAATGTAATAGAAATTTGTTAAGTTGTTAGAACGCCAAGTGGTTATAAAAAAATATACTCACTTAACGTTTATTAGTAAGGGTGCCGAATATTGTATACTAGACCTAATCCGCGACTTCGTCCACATGACCAGCATATAAAGCTCACGACTTTCTCCATCCTATATAGTGTTAAGCTGCTAAGTCGCTAAGAGATAACAAACAAACACTTTCATATTTGTTATATTAAAATCTGGTGCAAATAACAAATATTATTATTACAGGATCAGCCGCCATCGCCCACCGCAGTCTGCTGCAGGCACTACTTCAAACGTCTCGCGCTCGCATTCGAGGAATGATATTTACTTCCCATTTAGAATTACGCATCAAGCGCGTTATCGAAATGATAATGTGCGACGCAACCACATCGTTTGTCTGGTCCTCAAGATGGGACACCTGTGTTATGAGAAATTGGGCAACGAATCTGTAGGTACTGAAGGTACCCCAGGACATCCAGATCAGAGATAGTGTAAAAATTCATTTTCTACATTCTCAGACTGAGAATCGATCCCAGGACTTTGCGCACAGCAACATGCTTAGTATACCACTACGTCTCTGACACAATTGGTTAAAATACGAGTTATCATTGTTGTAATATAATATGCTTGCAATGCTTTAGACTCTTAAAAAAACACACACACACAATTGCTGTTACAAATGTATTAGTTTTGAGTCAAGGTGGAAAAATAACTATAATTTTGATAAGTAGCGTCCAATCAAACACTTATACGTACCAAAACTATTGTTTATAGCAAATTTCGCAAAGAATTTCGGATAAAAAAATCACTTTTTTTTAGTATCCGTGAGTGTAACTAATTCGATTTCAAAAGCGTTTTGTATACTTGTTTTTTGGCTATGCAATGACTTCTCTCTCCATATGAGGAATAGTCCATTATTATGACGCTATGGAATAGCTTTAGTATATTTCTGATTTCCTTCGTCTTGCACTGGTGTATTACGTTTTCCTAGGCACTTATATAATTATGAATTATGATATTCTGAGAATGAAGAGTGGTGGTGACACGACATATTCACTCAGCAGGTATTTACTTAATACAATGTTTTAATGACGGTATATACAGGGTGTAAGGGACAGGTCGACAAAAACTGAAACAGTGAATTTAGGCCTCTATTTTAAACTGAAAACCTAACCTAAACTGGAAATTCTTTCAGGAAAATTTCAACATTTTTTCGTGTTTATTTTTCATTTAAAATTATGTAATGTATGATATTATGTCATAGAATAAAGAAATAATATTTTATAGTGAAATACTATGAGATACCTATTAACAGCAATGTAATAAACGTATTAAAATATCGCCGCGAATCAGTTGTGTAATCAAAATTACCTACGAAGAAACCCTTTGAGCGTTGTAGGTATTATCACCCGTCATGTGGATATTTGATTCATCTGTTTTCGTTTTGGTCAACCTGTCCCTTATACACTGAGTGTGTGTATATATATATAGCACATGTATGAAACACGATTTTTTCTTTTATAGATGTTACAACGTTTACAGCAAAATACTTGGCGACATGTGTTTTAGTGGTTACAAGGGGTGACGCTACATTTGTTTGAATTAGCTTAACAATTTTAATATTACATTCAATTTCACATAAAAAAAATAACAAATACTGATGATCACAATTTACAAAATTATAAAATGATAATTTTTTGGTTGTGTATGAAGGTAATTTTAAAAAGAATATTGCATTCTAAATTGGTCGAAAATGGAATGAAAGCCAAGCGTATCGATTATACCATCATGGTTTGAAATTGTAACATATCAACTCTCAATTAACTAATATTTAGTTTCTCTCATGTTAGTTTCAATGTTTCTGTTGAGCATAGGGAGTTATTATACTATCAAACATACAGATTACTAGGCTTTAACGCATTTGAAATTTGAATGAGATCAAGATCACTTATACACACAAATATAGTATAATAACCTCCCTTATAAAATGTATACCGTAAGACTGACGGCTGTATTATGTATGTCAAATTATTAAATTTTTACGTATATATGTATTTACAAAACTATTAAGAATATCTGTCAGTTGTTTTACTCTGTTTAGTTTAGGTAGGACTAGATGGCCTTTATCATTACCCATAGCTTTTATTTTATGTATTAAAAAGAAATAGTTATGGATAGGAAAAATTTAAAAATGCTAAAAACTGGTATGTAATTTCATACTTGCTGTAACTCGTTATTTGATTGAATTAAAATAAAAATAACTTGTTTTAAATTTGTTGAAACATGATTGAGTGACAAATGGAAACAATCATTCAGATATCTACATAAACTTTCATCATAACCCTAGAAAGACTATGCAAATAGTAAATAATGAAATTATATAATCAGAACATTTAATTTGCTGTGGTAGTGATCTCTTCGACTTTAGTGGAAGCGAATGTAATTTTAATCGACTATTCATTCAAAAATATAACATTTGACAGGTAAAAATAGAGACATTACCTCACATTAACGAACGCTCTAAACTTAATTTATAGTAAAATATTTTTATACGTAAATTGGGGAGATCTTACGTAAGTTTTTTACAGTACAGCATTATGAAAAGACCATGTTTAAAATGAGTAGTTTATACAAATTGTAATACTGTCTTATTTTCAAGGTCTCTTACATACAGTCAAGGTTGAAACTGTCATTATTGAAAATCATATACCTAGTTTTAAGTATCATTGTTTTATTTTTCTATTTGAAAAGTCACGTTATTGCCGTCCATAATTTCATGCGAAAACAAATCACTGGAATCCGACGAACTTCTACCGGCCCGTCCACGTCGCTCGGGATATTGTAGTCTCGATTCTCATACAAATAGTAATAATTTTTATGACGTCACTAAGAAATGTATTATTTAGTAAAAGTGACTCAAAAACGACTAAGAACAAATTATGAGATTTAAAATTTGTAATCATAATTGTTTCATGCATATTGTAACGAATTATATAGCAAAATTACAAAAAGTATATATATATATCCATTAATAATTAACTCGAAATAATCGTATTACTAATAAAAACCAACGATAAACCTATTTTAACTGTTACATGTTTTGTCATCGTCTTTCAGATTAAGAATTTACATTAAAAATCATGATGTAAGCAATTAGCAGCTTAAATATATTCTTATTTTTATGAATAATTGCCCAAAAACACTAAAGTCGTCACACGATTTAATTTCATCATTCTCATTTCGGCATATCTATTAGTTTAAGGACGTGGGTGCTACAGGCAACTAGATTGGATTGAAACACGAGTGTACATAGTATTGTTGTATATTATAGATTAAGAGCCCATGTGGCAATATTCAAGAGTTGTAGATTTTTTGCTTAATTGTGTGATGTTAGTAACACAGTTAAATTCGTAAACGAATCTTAGGGTATGTTTGTTATTGAGTGTGTTCACAAAGTCGCATTATTTGTCGTTTTTGCCATCAAATTATCAATCTTTATTTACTTGTACCTATAGTATGAATAAGATCAGAATGTAATAAAAATCATTCCAGTAGATTTTTTTTTATAATTTATATATATATATATATATATAGTAATTAATAAATTTTATTTATTTATTGTTCACTATTAATTGTTCAAAACAGACGATAATGTGACTGCCAAAATTCAAAAGTATTTATAGGTGTCAACAAGAATAATTAATTATAATAAATTAATATGATTAAATCATATTATTAATTTTATCTAACCTTAGACATAATTGTCACTCCATTTTTCTCAATAATTTGACGACAATTTCTTTTACATATAATGACGTTTTCTGCTATAAAATTTCAAAATGTACCGTTATATATATCATACAATGTAATTTATGATTTGCAAAATCGTAATTAAAATGTAGGCCTAATAGATAATCTATTTACAAATTTTACTTTTATTAATTTGATGATAGCAATAAAATTATATAAGTACACAGTTTAAGACACTAAAAATTGTTTATTGGTATTTTTTCAATAAAACGAAGACTTCTTGTAATCATATCTTCAACTTTATTATATGGAGCAATGATACTCATAGTAACCAGATTTCATATAGGTAATAATTGTTATTTGTCAAAATTTAGTTATTAAGTTAACAACAAAAGGACTGCAGTTTATTTATTTTACTAACCACAACAATGTTAAATCTTAAAAATATAAATAGTATTTGCGTGAATTCACAAATATATTAGCTATTAGATGATTTTCATCATTCTTAAATTAGCCATCAAACACTATTTGATTATGTATTTAGTTTAGCGTCATAAAGTGATTGTTTATAGGCCATATTTTTTTGTTCCAAACATACAATGTACAATGGTGATAGTCAACTCACTCTAATGTATTTTTATAAACAATACTGCAATATTTAATGTGGAGCCGGATTACGATCATTCTAATATTGGGGAATAATATGTAATCTGCATAGATTGCATATACATATATAATTGCGTATATATTGGTGTATTAGAGTCATTATTGTTTAAAATTGGTTATTTTATTTTCGAGGACAAATGAAATGCATATAATTTTTATATAAAAATATATAAGGCTTCAATATTATTTGTTTTATTTTAACTCTACTTGATTATATACACTTTAAGACATTCCTAGAACTCTATACAAAAATTTTCCATCATGATCATAATAACAGTCATTTATTTTATATGTAGCACCTTTTTTGTATGCTTTTTTAGGAATCCTAATTCTCTCTGGATAAGATGTAATACTTAATACATCGTTATTTTTATCTTTTTCTTTAAATTCACTAATTTCATTTTGTTCTTTGTTTTCTTCAAATAATTCTATTTCTTTATGTACTTCTTCAGAATGCACTTCAGATATATTAGAATTGACTGTATTTAAAATAATTTTATCAGGTTCATTGATCTCTTTACCATCTTCTAAACGTTTTTTTATTCTTGTTGTTAATTCATCTAAAGTAACCCTTTTAAAATCTGTTTTTTGTTTAATATCATTATTTTCAGTTCCTTGTTTATCGGTATATTCAGTATTCTCTTTATCACTGACTTTGCATTTTTCATTGGCAGCACATCTTTGAATGATACTTTCAAATTCACCCATTTTTTCCTGGGTTACATCAATTTTAATTGATGTCTTATTTAATGGTGGAATGATTCTGTCAGAAAATTTTAGAAAATGTTGACGTAAGTCTTTTGATATATCTAGTGATCCATCTTTTAGTTCCTTCCAGTTTCTCATAGCTGATGCATCATGGCGAGCAATACGCTGTTCTGATGCTGGCTTCCATGGGTACTTGAGTAATTTCTGTTGAAAAGATATTACAAAGGTTCAAGTTAATGTGGAGTATACTTAACTAGAGATATGTTGGACAAGGGTCTATTTGTCAAAATAATGTCTATCCATTTTTATTACAGCATACAGTGCCAAATTAATAAATCTTCAAAAATAGCATCTCATGAAGAATGGTAAAAATGTCTAAATGAAAGAATAATTGCAATTTTCATAAAGTGTGAAACCAACTTTATTGCAACTGCCATTGATAAAAACATATATACAAAAGTAAGTCTTTATAGAATGTCATAGATATATCTATATCAACAAGTACCGCCTTTCATTGTAAGTGTTGTCAGATTGTTTAGAATTTGTAGTATAAATCCTATTAAAACAATAAATTTGTAACTATGGTTAGATGTATGATTAATATTCCTGTGCAAAAATTATTGAACAGATTTGAATGAATTTGGGTACACAAGTAGGTTATATCCTAAACTAGCACATAGGATTTGGACTTGACAAGACTTTCTATACTTATTCATATGGGTGAAGTCATGACACAGCTAGTAATATATAAAACAAAATAATATTTTTTTATTAATTTATAAAAAAAAGTATATTTTACATATAGTTCATGAGGAACAAGACCTCATAATGCAGAACAACTACAATAGAAAAGAATTGATTATATAATTATAAATATTATAAACATTTATCTACTATAATGTATGGACAATCATAATTAACACTTTGCTGACTGGTGATGAGTTAACTCATCTTTTCATATCCAAACATTGCTAACCAGTGATGAGTAAGTGTGAGTGTTGGACAAAAATAAACCAACTTCAATTGGAGCAAAATCAGTTATTATAAAACTAAACTACTGAACAAATGAAATTTCTATGGGACCTATCTGTATGTATATTCTTTCAGATAAAACAAGGATTTTCCAGTGTTTCATAACTGAAGGTGTTATGTGGTGACAAACATAAAAAATACAACTGAATTGAAAACCTATTTGAAATGTTGTATTCTTCTTGATATTTTAACATGAATTTTTGTTTGTTTTGAATTTCTAAAAAGATTTTCATAGCATGGAGATTGTGCAGATTTATTTGGATATCTACAATCACTAGCCCATAGAATAGTGATGATGTGATCATACAAAATCTTCTATTTTCTGCCTACCCTAATGGGAGACAGGCGTGATAGATATGTATGTATGTATGTATGTGATCATACAAAATATTTTTCAGTATATAAAAATACCTTTACTACAGGGACTGTAACTGGGAAACTCTCTGCTATTCTCTCAGGTGTCCATTCCCCAGGTTGTGTTGTAGCCAAATGACGAATTTGCTCCTTCTCACTCCATGTCAAGAGATTTGGCATATTTTCCTTAAAGTATTTTTCTTTGACAATTTGATGTCGTAATTCATACTTTCCTATAAGTGTTTCATTAAGATGCTCATTGTAAGTTTCACCCATCTAAAATGAGATTTAAAAAATGTTAATACTATTTATATGTTGAATCTGCTTCTGACATAGCAAACAAACTGAGCATATTTTACCAAATTTATTCATTTAATGGTGTATATAAGTTAGCAAGTATATAATTAATTTATACATATATAATAAATCTGTAATTAAGTAATGTCTGTACCAAGAATGTTTAAGAAAATTTATAAGAGCAATAGAAACCAAATAAAAAATTTTTAGATATTTTTTCTTTCTGTATGTTTGATCCAGCATTTTGCAAAAACTTACACCAATTTGAATGCAATTTTCACAATTGTTTAATTGAAAGGCTAACTAAAAATTTGGTGTTTGTTACTTCCAAAGTAGATGCATATAAAGTCACATGCAAAGCCAATACTATAATCAATGCAAATGTCTTTTTATCTATTTGCTTATTTTGTATGCTCTTACATTGACAAAAAGGTATTTCAATTGTGCTAAGTATAGAAAACAGTTTATGATCATAATCTTTCTGAATTATAGTATTTAAAGAAACAAATCATAAACTTGTGGTAACAGACAGAGAAAAAAAAATATTACAAAATGAAAGCATATAATTAAAACTTCGTGTAACCTATCTAAATAAACGATTTCTGTTTATGCAGTTGTAGGTGACAAATAAGTAGTTTTCCTTTCTACAGGATTATGTAAACAATATATCGTTTCATTTAGTAAACCTCTGGAAAAAAGCAAAATAAGGTTGTATATTAATGTAATATTTATTTTATAGTATACGAATTATTGTACTTACATAGATTTACCTACATGGAGGGCTTATACCGATAAAATTCTTTCCCAGTCAAGCAATTTAATATTACTACATTTTAGAACATTATTACTTACTTTATAAAAGTCACTTTCAGATTGTTCAACGAATTCTTCAGCGTCGTCATCTGTGATTTGAAAACCCTCTTCTTTAAATGCTTCGATTCTTTTATCCAAACCAGGGTTCGGTCCAAGACCTCTTAATCTCCTACTTCTTAGGTTACGAATTATGATCTTATCACAAATGTGATACAACGGTCTTAATTTTATTGTGAACATTTTATTATAAATTATAACTGAACAAAAATTTCCAAATCAAAACATAACCTATACAAAAGCGAGTTAAAAGTACTTGATAAAAAGTATACAATAAAGGGAAACTTAGTAAAATGACAATCGTAGATTACAGGTTATGAAAAGTTTGGCATTGATAGAAGGTGACAGTGTTGCCAGATATTTTTTATCAAATATACCATACGGAAAGTGTTACAAGAATAGAAAGGTATAGAACGGTGATTCTCAACGTGGGGCTCACGCCCCACAGGAAGGCAATTTGATAGTTAGGAGGGGGGGGGGGGAGGGGGGGCAATTAAAAATGGACTTGAAGTGATTTTAACCCTCTTGCTCCGAGCCATTTAAATGCAATGCTACGAGGAGATATCGGTGCCTAATTTAACAAAAAAAAGTAAATTAAAAGAAATGTAAATATTTATTTAATATAATTTCGTTTGGCGTGGGCGATCAGAGTTGTTAAGTAAACTTTATCGGGAAAAATTATGTATGGGGGCATAAAAATTTTAGAAATGTTCAAGTGAGGCAAGGAACAAAAAAAGGTTGGGAAACACTGGTATAGAAGGAATGATAAAATAAAAACTGTAAATCATATGGTTGCCTCCTAAGAACAAGGAATTACATAGAAGGAATGATAAAAAAAAACTAATTCATATGATTGCCTCCTTTCTTCTTATGCAAATATAATTAGTAAAAAGAGGACAAAAGGTACACCATCAGTTTTAATTTTTCTCAATTCATAGCAGGCTAGTGTATAAAAAAAAAATAAAAAAAAAATATTTTGTATAACCCACTATGTAAAAATACTCGGTTCCATTCCGCTCCCATTATGTCCATAGTGCGAAAGGCCTATTAAACTTAGCAGGTATACAAAGCAAATTCAATTATATTTCATGTAAGGTAAACTTTTTTATCCCCTGAGATGTAAAAACTGACAAGAGGAAACTGCATTATACGCTAATGCAAATACAGGAAAAATCAACATATTTAAAAAAAAGATTGTATGTGTTTAGATAATAAGTGATCTATGACAAGGCTGATTCTTATTAGGACACAGCCCGCTGTCTCCCCATAAGACTCAACCTTTGATTATAGGTGTACATTAGGTTAATAAAATTAAAAATGCTTTACAATTTTTCTTCTATAAACTTGATAATATTTTCTCTATTTACATTTTTAAAACTTACTTTAATTATCTCAATTTTACATATACTATAATAAAGAGATTGTTCTCAGAAATATTACGTACCTTATTTTGCAATTAAGGTGATATCAACTGCATCAACCTATTTAATTAATGATCAATGATATTAGGGTTAAAGACAAATGGTTATAGGTACGTTACAAGCGCGCGGAAAATGTTATTTAAATATAACACTAAATTGAAAAATACTATATTATATTGTTCTAGTTTAAGAGCGTTTATAACTTTAGCTTATCGAAGTATGATAACGACGCAATTTTCAAAAACAATCTAACAATTTTCAATCGTGACCGTATTATATTTATATTATATTCTATATATGTCGTTTTATATTATATATTCTCTGCTAGTGAATTAAAACGTTAATTATGCTTATTAAGATCATATATGCTTATTATAATAATATTCTTATTATGATGTCATTAAAAATTTTGATAGCAAAAATATATTTGAAAAATTCCGAAGCAAAATATGAAGTAAAAGCAAAGTTTTTAGTAGGTAGTAGATATATACCTAGTCCAGCCACAAGTTTTGTTACAAATGAAAATGTATTTTTTTATGAAGTAATGTAATATTATTAAAATTTTTCCCTACATATTTATTAAAGTCTCAGCAAAAAGTAAAAAATATTCTGTTCGAAGGTGGCTTTGACTTTTATACAGGCCTTTAATCTGATCTGTGATCTGAATCTGGCCACGAATCTATGAATTTACGCACTGTTTCCAAGGGAAATTTCGCCACTGCTTATTCCAAAGATTTTTTAAGAGACTTAATGTCACCGTGTTGTTTAGAGCAGGTCATGCACTCTAAAACTGACCATAATTTGAAGTCCTCATCCTCATCTAGCCCCGACCTCAACCCTTTAGGTTGAGGTCGGGACTAGATGAGGGCCAGTCTTCAGCTCTTATAAAGTCCGGAACGTTGGCCAAGCCAAATCTTGGGTAGTTCCTGAGTTCAGTAGTTCAGAGTCCTGCTGGAAAGTCCGCGGAAAGTGTATTGCTGAGGTTTCACAACACGATCCAAGACACACACATCATCTTGATACACTTTAGCTGAAGTTTTCACTCCTTTTTCACAAAAATGTAGTTTTGTGACTTCTTGATAAGACACGCCCCACCAAACCATCACTGACTCAAGATGATAACTATACAAAGGTACAACTTTCCGACCACTTGAGCAGCTTCTTTAGAACTGTGAGCATCTTTATCATTTTGTTTATTGTAGTGTCCTTTAATCATGAAAATTTTTTCATCGGTAAAGAGGATATTTCTGTGCCTTTCACCTGCGTATCGCGTTAGACGGCGTTTTGATCGATCCACTCCCTTTACTTGTAAGGATTGGTTTAGGGCATATCCTATATATCGACTATAAGCACCGAGCTTCAGGTCTTGTTTTATAGTACGCGACAGAGTTTTAGCGGGAATCTTCATTTCTCGCGATAAGATTTTTGCTTCCTAATGGGGTTTCGACGAATTCTGGCTTTAGCAGTATTAATAGCCTTTGTAGTTCTAATAGAACGCGGCCGCCCCGATCTTTTGTGGTCTTCGACAGAGAAAGTGTTATTGTATCTGTTCATAGTACGATATACGAACATACGGTTGATACCAATCTTTTGAAGTGTCTGGAATATGACCGACGGTTCCATACCCACTTTGTGCAAGGCATTCACTGTAATCTTATTCTATTTAATACCCCATTCCATATTGTAATTTGATAATGAACACGAAAAAATATGTGAAATGGCGCGAAATAGAAAGTTTTTAAAATAATAAACGTGTTCCAAATTCAAAATAATTGAAAAGTTGAAAAAAGAAAAGTTTTTATGTAACATTATTTATGGCCAGACTAGTTATATATGCAACATATTTTTGAGGTGATTAACACTTTAGTTTGTTACCAAAGCCCTTTTTAAATAATCAATCAGAAACAAATAAATAAAAAAATAAAATAAATAGAAATAAATGTTAATTGTTTTTGAAAATTTACAGTCAATTCGTTGTCACATTAAAATTATTTGACAAATTGATGAAATCTATAAAACATATATTTATATTGTTATGTGTGCTATTACTGTATTCTTATTATCTTATTATTAATATTTTTTATTATTAATTTTTTAGATGTTTTATGAGTCCATAGCGATATCTTATTAAAAAAAATCCTATAGCAATATTATAGGTAGGTACTTGTTACTTGTACCTACACAGATTGCTGTAATTTAGGTACCCACTGTAATATATCTGTTGGACGAAACTTGAATTTCAAATATGGGAGTGGATGCCAATGTTGCGTTATTTTATGTTAAACGTTGTATTCAATGACACAGTTACAAGTCAGTCGCTGCTTGCATCAAACAGCTTCAGACAGTACGGTTCGTCGTACTAGGCGGGCAAACGCGCGCCTATTCAAAAACGAGAATTACTCCGCGGTTCGAGTGATAAATGAAATATAATTTTTAGTTTTCTTACTTAAAAAAGAAGTAACATATTTATTAAATTAATTTACAATAGTGAAATAAAAAAGAAGGTATGTTGTAGATAAGAATTTTATTTTTAAATTGTAATGGTAAGCGATCCAAACATTGTAAGTAAGGTATATAGATAGATATAAAAAAATAAGTATATTGATATAAAAAAAAACTACAATAATTTTATATAAGTAAAAATGAATTTTTGTGTTATTAGTATTTTGAGTAAATATTAGTTATATACAGGTAAGGAAGAGCGGTCTTTGACAATCTAATCTTTCTGTTTAACTCGTAAGGGAACTAAGATAAAGATACATAGAAATTCCTGTTACTGAGTAGATATACGTAAAATTAACGATACAACATAGTGTCTTCTTAGAGTATCTTATAATTTATCCGCAATTTTTACGAAATCTAACAAAAAGTAGAGACACGACTGAAATAGAAAATACGTCAAAAAAATACGTTGTACAATAATGTTTATCTTACAATGTATTTTTTTTTTTACTTATTTATTAAAATTAATAAAAAGTTTATTTCTACTTTTTAGTTTTATACTATATTATTAGTTTTTGTCTATGATTTGGTCTTCGTGAGTCGTGACATGTTAATTTACCATGATTAAAAGCAGCTTCGTCCTCTTTCTTTCTCCATTCCTAATACCATAAGCATGTTACATTTAATAATAATGAATTATTTAAATCGATATCGGTACGTAATAAATAAACTCACTTTTACGATAATAATATTAATAAAATATGTAATGTAAAATATGTAAACGCATCTCTACAGAACAACTGCACCTATTTGGCTAAATCCACTTTTTGTTGTGTTTTTAATTGTCATAACAAGGTTTATATATGTTTAAAAAATCGTACAGACAAGTGAAAAAGTTGGGGAAAATAACTTCATTTAAAAATGTGAAGGTTATTAGGTAAAGCGAAGATTTGATCTGATTTTCTTCACTAGCAGCTGGGGCAGGCAGCTTGTTTATCATATTAATGAGGATTGCGATTATAAATTGCAAAGGTACAAATATAAGTTATGACAGATATCGCATTGGCTGTCTTATCCTTCAATTAGAAGCAATAACAACATTCTTTGCAGATTCATGGTCGACTGGTAGGTAGTAAATTACAGTAACACCGAAAATGTACATTTTTGTATTATGTACATAAATTAATTAATTATTATTAATGGTAAAAAAATCTATTCGATTTTAATAAATTAGTATGGATTACTCAAAAGATAAACTAAGTAATAATTTTAATTAAATAATTTAATAAATTATTCAATGCAAAAGCAACTTTAATTAATACAAAAAGGAATAAAATGTTGTGATTTGTAAGTAAATATCGATATGTACGTGTAATTGTTTATCTGCAACAATTTCTATATATCTGTTTTGCCAAAGGTTGACTAGGAGAGAATGCTATATAGTATTAAGTCCGCCTTTTCTACCAGACATTTTTTCTAATGTGGTCAGTAAAGAATAATTAAAAAATATAATACTACAATCTTTACATAACGAATACGAGACTGACGTGAGAGTATAGATTATTACTGCTAAAAGAAATGACAAAATTAGTTCAGGACTGACGAATTTTGAATGTTTATTACTCAAATGGGCTTCAATAGCTGAATAGATTTTAATAAAATAATGTACATATATAAACCCTATCTCGGATTAAAATATTATAAGCTAAGATTATAAGTTACTTTATATGTTATTCACGCAGATAAAGACGCAAAATACAGCCAGTAAATTGATATTCTCCATTTGCCTTCATTTTAATTAGTCTATAATTATGCAAATTTCGATTAAAGTACATTAAGTTGCATTGCATGAAATATGTATAGCTCATAAATTTGCTTCCAATTTGTGTAACTAATACTAAATTAGTAATTACGCGACCTAAAAAGCAATAACAGTTTTCTTCTTATCCTTCCAAAAATCCCTAAATCCCAAAAATAACACCCCTCTCGTCTCACAGATCGCTGTACCATGCAAGGAGGATATTAGTCTTATTTCAATAAGAAATGATAAATATATATATCTACATAAGATCAAAATATCTATTTAATATCAAAATTCAAAGAAAATCACTTAGTACTAAGGAATGACAATGTAAGGAAAGCGTTGCAGTATATTTTGCAATGCACGGGGTACAGAGGTTTCTGCAGGGTCGGCAATGAGCGCGTAAAACCCGGGCATATATTATCTGTGCCCCGGGTATTGCAAGCGTTCATAGACTACGGTAATCGTTTACAATCAGGTGGACCGTATCCTTGTTTGCAGCATTTTCTTAGCGGTATAAAAGTCCAGAGTGCTGTTCATGTCTAATGATTATTACAGTCCTTGTTCTAAGTTGCATACAAAAATTGAGTATTTTTATTAATACCATTTCAATATTTTATAAATTCGTGATTTTTTCTTCGTTTGCTTCCAGTCTGTTCATGAGTCTCTAAAATATATACATATATACGAGATATACTGGTATACCTTATACTTATTAATAACTACCTGTGTTCCACGACTTCGCCCGCGTGATTCAATACCTACATAAAGTACATATCCTATCTGCTAAGTTAGAATATAATCTACCCGGGGGGAAAGGGATTGTTAGTAATGGAGACTGAGAATCCCGTTGCTAGCAATATATCCAACCCGGTCGACCTCCTCGCGGTTCTCCCTGGAAACTATCATGGTTAATTCCTGATGAATTTATCATGATGGGCTAACTGACATATTTTCATCCTCATCTATCACCCTTCACTGGTACTCTGCCAGCGTATCCCGTTAGCGCAGGCGGGGTTAACATACCATTTTCACCCATAAAAAAAAATCTACCCGTGTATCAAATGTCATTCAACCTGTTCAGTAGATTTTGCGTGACGAATAACAATCATTCATCCATCATTAAAAATTTTCTCTTTTATTATATTAATAGGATTATTACGGAGCAATGGACTGAGATGAGGTAATGAATGATAAAAACACGGATTTTAACAGAGAAATGTAATGTATAGTAACCGAGAAAACGAAGATATTATAAAAAGATTCGAATCAAAATTATAAATGGAAACGTTTTTAAAGCAAATCTATAAAAAAGTATACAAAAAGATGTAAAGGAGTTTGCATCAGCCGGTCGCTAACAATTATTTCCGTCTTTACTTAAATATATAAAAAAAACTTATCATTCATCTGTCAACTATTTTTAACTTTTGAAGGCTATAAATAAATTATAAAATTTTTTCCTTGGCTTTATATATTTATTCATTGTATGCCTATTTATATATCTATTTATTCAGTTATGTCGTGCAGTTTTTTTTTAATGAACGACAATGGAATGGTAACCCCGCCTGCGCTAACGGTATACGCTGACGGGGCGCCAGTGAGGGATGATAGGTGAAAATGAAAAAGCAAGTCAGTTAACCCATCGTGATGAACACACCTGGAATTTAGCACGATGGTTTCCAGGGGGAACCACGTGGAGGTTGACCTGATAGCGTATATTGCTAGCAATAGGACTGGCAGTCCGCATTACTAATAATCCCTTTCCCCCTTTATGCCGTGTAGTCACGGCATAGAATAGGTCACACATTCCTTTCTCGTGGGCATCGTAAGAGGCGACTAAGGGAACTTAATAGTCAAGGGATGGACACCAGTATCCCTTTTAAAACATCACCAAAGCCTAACTGCAGTTGCCAACCCGCCTGTTAAGCGTGGCAACTACTAGCAAAACCTTTATGGGGAGGTCTATGTTCAGCAGTGGACGGTTAACGGCTGATGTGACAATGATGATTACTTAATCAGTTTAATGTAATGTATATATAAATATAATTATTTAAATAAAATAGTCCGTGATGATCGACATATGTATCTAAATGATTTTATTATTATTATTACAGTACAGGACATAAATAATAGGTGCCTTTATTACTCCTGTCGAGGTCACACGTACATATAATGCATAATAATGTGCAATAAATCTTCGTCTTGCATGCACAGTCTGTTTTAATAGAAGTTAATGAAAAAATAACAAAGTTTTGTTGAAATTATCAAATTATATTAAATTTGTAAAAGATCGATATATTGAAACAATGAATTGATTTTTTATTTGTTTGTTTACATTTTCATTCAGTTTTATTAAAACAGACTCGTCTTAATTTTGATATCCATTGATACACTTGTATATCTAGATATTTGTTGTAGTATTGTGTATCGTGTTAATTTTTTTATGGACTAAAATGTAATCGTAACTCGATCTAGACGCTAATGCTATTGGAATATGTTAGCGGACTATAAAAGGCACATAATAGTTAAGAATGAAGTTAGGTTAGATGGCTCATCGTGATAAACGCACTATAGTTACTTTGCTTTGTGGATAATAAATAAATATTTTAAATTTGAAATATTTTAAATTTGTATTTTCACTTGCTACGAAACATCATAGGAATCTGATACACTGGGTCGTTGTTGTTTTCAAGTACCTGTTGTCTATGTTCTCATGAACCGTGAGATCTTGAAGTTCTTTCATAAATACATCGTGATACGCATTCTGAATAATCGAGATTATATATTACTATTGTAACATCAATTTACATATATAGGGATACCTAAACGATGTACGCAAGTCCCTGGTTATAATTTTTATAAGAATCGATTAGTTACTCCTAATAATATATAAAAAAAAAAAAAATATAATAAATTACATTAAATCCTTTTATGTATATCGTCTTTATTATTTTCATCAATTCTTTAAACTTTTACAATATACTTATATATGTAGAAACTACGAATGAGAGTCCTATTAGGCGTAATTTAAAGGCAAAAATTAAGGTGCAAGTTTTCATACGAGCACCTATCTATTTAAATCTTACAAACGTGTGTATGAATTACATAGATACTTCGTTGGTTTTTTCCAAATAGTTTTTCGCTTAGTCTGCATGGATAAGCAATAAAATAAATAAGACCCGGATATTACTATTTATAAGCTACGGTTATACAACACATGTGGTTTTAAATATAGATGTCGTAACTGCATATACTTTACAT